GTCATCAGGGCGATGATGACAGAGGCAGTATGACCTCTGAAACGTTGGTTAACATCGACCAGACTACACAGCGCAACAACCCAGAAGACAAAAATCTTCAAGTATATATTTTTTTTTAAAAAATCGAAAACCGGTTTTTTGGAAATACTGGGATTTGAAAACCGTTTTTTTCAAAAGTCGGTTTTTGTATAAACCCTAATGTGGATGTCCATGACCAATCCAACAATTTCCATAGCCCTGATTAAAATACTGTGACACTTGTACACTGAAATAAGGTAAGTTTTCTCCCATTTTATCTATCATAATATAATGGTTGAGACTTTTGTTTATATACAAAATATTTCACCAAAAATAATCCAGTGAATAACCACCTAAAGTTTGGCAGAGATTTCATGAGGAACTCCGTATATAGCTCAGAAGACACTGAAAATTTTAATCTATGTTTGTCAAACTTTGAGATGTAATTCATCCATTTTTAAATAAATTGGCAATATCTAGAATTACCACATTTGATTGATAAACACATATTGAAACAATCTCTTTTTTTAAATTATTTTATACTTTTAGTACACCATGTTACCTATTTTTGTTCAGGGCCTGATGGGCTGGTACATGGTGCAGTCAGGATTGGAAGATCGTTTTCATGGTGAAAGTGATGTCCCACGAGTGTCCCAGTATCGACTTGCAGCACATCTAAGTTTAGCTTTTCTACTATACACCCTTTTGCTTTGGTCAGCTTTTGATCACCTTCTTCCAGCACAGAAACTTGCAGGAACTGTAACTGCCTCTGCACGACGATTCCGTTGGCTGACTCATACTTGTAAAGGCATGGTGTTTCTGACTGCTGTCTCAGGTAAACACCTCAAGATCTTCAGAGCATTTTTCTGTGTGAATTTCTATGTTTTAAGATAAAGATAAAATATTTCTGTGGCTATGCATTTTCCTTGATCTTTGTCTTCTGTTACAGTTCCCACCATACCTATGTGTAGCCCTATCCACTTTCCTTTGAGTGATTTTAATTATGGCATCAGTGATCCATGCCTTTTCTCCAGTCTCATCTGGCATGTAATGCTGTATCTAAATTATACCACCCTTAAACCAACCCTGAGCTTTTCAGTTCAGAAATCTGTTACCGTTTCTATTATAGCTGGTCATGTCCAAGCCATATTATTCTCGGTCTTCCTTAAAAGGTAAGTTGGTATTTTCCAGATTTGTTGTCTGTTTAACACTTTATCCATGAAAAAGTAGCTAATACTAGAAGACGGCAGATATGAAAACTTTCTGCTGCAGTATAAGTGGTATTGAGGTGAATGTTTCTACTTTTGTTATCCAAAATTCTTTGTATGCTTGGATTATTGTTAGTTGAATTCCCATGATAGGCGTAGAGCACAGTATCCAAATTATAAAAGGTACTCTTATGTGAAACTGGATAATTGTCTTTCGTGTATTACATTTTCTTTTGATTAATCTTATTGTTATGGATGTTTTATAAAATTGTATATTTTTATATTACATTGATGCCAGTGACCAAAGTGCTGGGTGGCTTTTCATGTGTGTTAAACTTACAGAATTTTTAACATCATGTTTGAAGACACGTCACTTCCAGAATTTCATGCTGTCTGTACTGGATTGGGAATGAACCATCTCAGATTAGTGCCACTATACTAAATTATAGTCACTGTTGTGCTAAGCTTAGTATAAATATTACAGGTGCCTTTGTAGCTGGTTTGGATGCAGGCTTGGTATATAATTCTTTTCCAAAAATGGCAGACAAGTGGATTCCTGATGACATTATGGCATCTTCACCAAAACTCAGAAACATCACTGAAAATCCCACAACAGTTCAGTTTAACCACAGAATACTGGTAGGTAGATAAACCACATTCATGTGGAATTGTGATCAGTATATGTACGTTGTGATTTGATGTATGTACTAAACATTGACATTGCATTAATATACTTGTTGAAAGATATCGCCAAGCTTCATTAACGATTACAAATACACACTGTGGCCAGCCAACCAAGGTATGGGGAGAGAGGGGAAGGCATTTTGTTCCCCTCTTTCACTTTCCATCATACCTTCCCCTCTTACTGTGATGTAGCCCAGGCTCACATATATATTTAGAATCTAGTATAATATTGTGCAAGATTGTTTCCAAACAGAATAAAGTATTCATTTTATATTAGATAGATGGGTATACTTGAGGCACCAAACAAGAATTGTTAAACCCTTCAGAGCTGAAGCTTGGTTAAATAATATTTAAGAATTCAGTCTGTACCTCAAAGAAATACCTCTCCATTACACAGATCAACTGGTTAATGCTGTTGAGGACATAGTCACTGTTTACTGCGAGACTCATGAAACAAATACATTTTGGGAAAAATGTAGAATTACTGAATGTTAAAGCATGTAATACATATAATTACTGTTGGGCTTTAAAGGGTTAACAACCTTTTCTTTTGTTCATATGCAGTCTGTATGTAGAATAACTAACACATTTCTGATTTCGGACCTTTTTGTGATATCTTTGAATAAGAATTATTATATTTTGCACATTATAGTTTCTTTTGCTATACTAAGGCTGAAAAAAAGGTCTTCAGATACTGTATGTTCACAGACATGTAATTAATAGTAGTAATCCTAAAATAAGGGTTATTAGGAAAATGTAAATTCAAAGTTGAATTTAATATATTATATTGTTCTGAGTTGTGATGCCATGTAGACTCACACGTGGGTACTAACATTTTGGAGAACCATAGTGTCTCCATCTTCAGAGCACCACAACGCAGAAGAACAGAACTATCATTTTCACCACCATGAGAACCTCAAATCTTACATAGTGAACCCTTAGGGGAAACAGCACTGTTCTCCCTGAAGATGGAGACATTATGTTTTTTTCTGAAATGCTTGTATCTACCTGTGAGTCTACATAGCAACAACATTGCCATCTTCACTGCCATGAGAGCCTTGAATCTCACAAACTGATAATGTATTGGCACTGATTGTTGTATTGAATGTCATGAGTTTTGTTCTTGTGACAGGGAACTTCAACTCTTGCTCTTATCTCTGGCATGTGGGTGTTGTCTCGCAAGGTGAAACTTCCACCACGGGCCTATACAGCTGCAACTGCTGTTGCTATCATGGGATGGACACAGGTAAGAATTTGAAGATCAGTAATGGGATCAAAATGAAAGATATGTCTGAAGGCTGTCCTACATTGGTATCAGTTTCTGTCTTCACATGTCACACACTGTTCACAAATGAGGCTTCTGTTGACCGAGTCGTAGCATTATAAACATTACATCTGTGATGGAAGAAATTCCATCTACCATGTTCATGTTAGTTTACTGTAAGTTATTGTTTTATTTGTTGAGTAAATAATCACATATACCCATACAGGTGAGTCAGATTTAACCCAATCCCACTTACAACCATTTTTATCCAATGATAAGCTGACCTCCTTTCGAAGTGAAAGTCATAAGAAAACAATTTTATTACTTGTAGAGATAAAATTCTTATGTGAAGTTCTCTGGTAAATATGTAACTTTTTTCCCCATTGCTGCTTAATGCCCTAATGTTTGTCAATGGCCAGAGATAAAATTAATGCAAGAGTGACCTAAGGCATAACATTAACCTCAAATCACATAGCAACAGTGATGTTTGTAATATGTCATGAGGAACATCTTCGGAATGTATGTGGACTCTATAAAGGTAACACCTTTCCATGCTTGTTGAATATTATCATAATATAGTCTATGGATTTGTGAATTTTGAGATGCCAATGTCTGTTTTTTCCATTCTCAAATATAAGATGAGTAAGTATGGTATTTTCTTTAAGGACATTTCAAAATAATGTTCATTATCATTATCTGAAATGTATAGACATTAAACTATTTCTAAGGAACTTTTTTTAAAAAAAAAGAAAAAAGATGTCACATCATGTAACTATGATAAAGATGGTGACAATTACAAACATTTTGCAGGTTATCCTCGGTATATCCACACTACTGCTATATGTACCAGTATCACTTGCAGCAAGTCATCAGTCTGGATCACTGGTTCTCCTTTCATTTGCCGTCTGGCTCACTCATGAGCTCAAATACGTTAAAAGGCTACTCAAATAGCACCAGCAACATCCAAGCATTTTATGACATTTTTCTAATACTGAGAAGGGAAAATTAATTTTCAGAATATCATAAAGTAAGTAGATTAAACATCATAAAATAAAATAGTATTTCCTGGATATGAATAAGCAAAATAATACTGTATGAAATATTTATGATATATTCATATACAATAACAGAAATGAAGTCATGCTGTACTGTCTTCATAGAAGAAGCTAATTTTATTGTATCTATTATATATTTATCATTTAAGTTCAAAAAATTTTACAGCACATGACTTATCACATATGTGGCAGTGAAGATGGTACAAGTATGCTGTCATGTTTAAAGGTGGATTAATTAACTTTCTGTAGCCTTTATTACTGGTACATCTAAAATTGTCAAGTAATGGGGCTTATAATGAAAATGAATTAAGAATTGATGTTATAATTTTATTTTGATTTCAACTTTCAAATGTTACCATAATTTTACATTACCTCACACTGATACCAAGTGCTGCAAACAAATCACAAATATAGTGTACAATGTTTTTAAATTTGTTAATTTAATATATCCCTTAATATGTTATCATTAAGTACTATTTCACACAATACATAACAGTCATTTGTCAGAATCATACATACTGAAATTCTCTAAATTATGTGCTACACATCACTCTTGACACCCATAAAAAAGTTTCAAAATTTTATTAGTAACAGCTTCATTTATCATCAAACAAAAGTTTGCTATATAAACTTGTTTCCCCTTGACTTCATTTATCACAATAGAGTATTGTTAACTTCAGACTTGCATTATATTTTCATGCACATTAATCGTTTCTTTAATCCATTGGCACCTTTTGAAATATGAAACAACCCCTTCTTTACATGCAAATCCCAAAATATCGCTCTTGGGATTTTATATCGCTTAGTGACGAGGCCTAAGATATATCTACCCCCAGACGTTATTTACATAGTAAACATACATAAATTAAAGGAAAAATATACAGTGATAAACAGAATCTATGAGCAAAACCTTGCACAGAAATTCAGCATCATAATGACTTGTTACAGTAGTGCTTGTTAAATGATGCAACCTGACCATTTATGTTTTATCTAATGGAGCTGCTGTTCTGAATATGATCTTAGAATCATAGCACACTGTCTACCAATCACAAAATGACATTAAAGGAAAATTCGAAAAATTAACACCACTGACCACATAAAGGAAATATGAACATAGGATTTTCTTGAAACAAATTTCATAATGTATAAACATTCTGTTTGTGGCCTTACATAACATATGATTTAACTAAATTATCAAAACTGATTATTCTTTTCTCACATTGTTTTATCATGGGCAACTTCTGCTTGACAGGGCTAAACTATCCCTTTGCCTTTTCAAATTACTGTTTTAAATTAAAATTTTTTATTTACCTTCTAATTTCATCCAGCATGTGTTTGCTGTAGCAAGTCATGTGTGCTGATATTTCATTCAGTCTGAGAAACTGCTAGGGAAACAACCCACAATGATTATATTACGTCTTAGATATATTTTCATGTACATTGCTGCTTTATTTACACAGAAAGACAAAGCTGTAGTTTCTACTTACTGCATTCAAAAGGATATCAAGTAGGTAGATAGAAAATGTTTCTTGAAACATAATTTTCCAGTTGTTTATATTACTCTTAAGTTCTGAGGTAGTTTTATCTACTATTTGAAGAATGTTTATGAAATTGATTTCATACATCTACCTGTACACTATGTACATTAATGAGATTCCCAATCAAGAGTAGATTGCAGCAGCTGCCTTTGTTTGTAACTGACGATGTCAATCTATGAAACCAACCTTTTTGGTGTTTGCCTACTTTTTATGAGAGTCCATAGCCATTTCTTTGAACAAGTATATAGTAAACCTGTCTGAATTTAATCGTTTTTCTTTCAATCAGGAAATCGCTACACATTTCCTGGCATCAAACATTCAGTTAGTGATGCAATTTAATTATGTATAAAATAAGTTAAAATCATTATGCATACAAGGTAAAGTAACAAATACCATAGGATCTGTACTGAACAGATTAAATAGAGAATCGCTATTTTCAGTTGATATTGAACATAAAAACAAATACAAAATTAATGCTTTTGAGAAACTGACATCTCATTTTCTGGTCTAGAGAAAGTTTCTCATTGCCTTATGATGATATTAAAGAATCAAATATTTTCAAACTTTAACTTATCTACCACTCATAACATTGTTTTGAAAAAACTCTGAAATCCTAAACACCAACATTTTTCACTATAACTGAAGTATTGTCAACAAAAATACAACAAATGTTCATTTACAAAAAAGGTGTTGGGACATTCCCATTACATATACTACATTAATTATGAGTACTGTCAGCAATATTTATTCATTGATACTCAAAATATCTATCTTGTTGACATCTGTTTTGATGCAGTTATGTCATCATCAGACAAATAATGTTCAAACCATGTTGTTTACTAAAGCAAGCTTAGTGTCACTGACATTGGTTTATTGCTTTCTATTGTATTACAGTTAGCTTGCTATAATGTGTCATAATCATTGTTCTAGGATAAATTTAAGTATGTAAATTCACAGCTGCGTAGGATTTATGTTATGATAGAATACCTCAGTAGCTGAGACTAGTGTTGGATAATTAATGAACTGGAAAGGATATAGAAGGAAACAGTCACAGCCAAATTTAAGGTACTATCTTGGCATTTGCCTGGACAAACTGAGGAAATATTGAAAAACCTGTCAGGATAGCTGGTCTCTGGGCTGAAATTTGAACCAGGACATCCCGACACAAAAAAGGAGTGCTAACCATTCTGCTCTGCAACATTTGGTGTAGTCAATTGACAGTTATATATTTTATATGTGAATGAATAAATATTGTTCTCTTGACAGTATTTAAAATAAATTATTGAGTGGTACTATAATTAAATATATTCAGAAGAAATGCTTTGCTCATATCTCCTATTTGAATATCAGTCAGTACTCAGGACGACAACTGTAGCTGCAAGCTTTTAAATATGCGGTAATTTAAGCTTAGCACATCTGAAACTTCTTAGTCAAGAATAGTTTCAGAACTATATAACATAATACAACTTAGCCAAGTCTGTGCCAGGTTTTCAGAATTGACTGAATTTTCATGAAGAAATTATAAACATCCTGTGAAATGACAGGAGCAAACAACTTTGAGCAGTCACCTTCTTGCCCAAGTGAGTGAGACTGGGTCATAGTAGAATGCTACTTATACAGAGTAGATTGCTTAAAAATATAAAAAAATGTCCTCTCCATGTAGTTTGCAAACAGTAGCTTGCCTCCCTATAGAATGTTCGATATGTATAAAAATTAGTTTCTCAGTATTTAACTTGTATCTCAAGATATTGAAATTCTAAACCATCACTTCTAAATTATAATTGTAATTAAAAGTGTAAACCATCTGGAGTATTGTGTAGGTATATTACATGTGCACTGAATATGAAATGTCAAAACTAATTCATTGTTTCAGAAACAAACTGTGCCATTGTAGCATAATTCCATTCCAACATAATATAAATGTACTGATGTATTTTATCCAGTGCCATGCTAATCATATAAATGAACAGGAAGAAGAAGAAAGAACTTGATTAGTAATTCACACCCGTTTTCTTGTTAGATAATACACCTTTATACCTCAATAAAAAATTTCAATAAATTTCTGTTGTATATTTAAAACAATAAAGCATGTATCACTTCTAACAATGTTCAGTCGAACATGCTTTGTATTAAAACACATCAAGTTATAATCAATCTGCAGTATTTGCAGTTCAACTCTCCACTCTAGACATCTGATCATGATTCACTATCACTTGTACCACGTAACCAGGCATTATCTTTGCTTCTTCAATGCGCAGCTTATCGCCAAGCAACTTCCCACCAAAAAACCACCTCTGTCGAGATGGTTCTAATCCTTCTTGACTCTGGGGAGAAAAATAACAATTTGATATATATTAATATAATTACCAGAACAGCCAACATACATACTAAGCATGGCAGTACACATCAGGCAAGAAGGTACAAACACCACAAGAAAGTTTAGATTTCAGGTTTTCACAGCGATGACTATCATGACATTCTTTTCACAAGAAACGTTAGTCATATTAAGGACACAATGGTATGAATAAATATACAAAACATAGTTGAGAACAAATGGACAGTTACATGAGAAATGCTATGGGAAGACAGAGAAGATGGGTAAGACTTTGTGACAGGATAATTCAGGATGGAGAAATCAGTGGCCAATAACTAATTTCATTTGCTATAGCAATTTACCTAATCCATCAGCATTACATGTTTTTTCACAAATCTGAGATCAAGAAACTTAAATGAAATTTGAAAGTTTAAACATGATAGTACTGTTATTACAGAAGGGAGAGACTATGTCTGTATAGAACTGCGGCTGCTAACAGACCCATTGTCCAGCCCCCAGATGATATGAGTGAATACGAAGCACTAATGGAATGAGAGAACCAAATAAGTCACAGAAAAACCTGTCATAATGCCACTTTTTCTATTACAAATCCTGCACGGACCATCCCAAAGCACAAAAAAAGCTTCATGAAAGCATAATGCTTAATTAACCAACTGCCAGTAGAGTTTTCTTTGAATAGTTAATGTCTTGGAAAGGACAAGAAATGATTGAAAATTGTCGGGTGTTGTAAAACTGACTGACCTGCAATTTCTTTTTTGCCATTCCTATGGTATCCTTAGTACACACTGGTAATTTCACATCCATACACGTTGAAGATAGTCGGAGCTTCAAAACCATTTCTGTCCCGCCATCAACTGGTTCTGTTAAGAGAACAAATGTAAACATTTACCATTCTATAAAAGCAGAAAGAAATGCTGTGAGAACCTCAAGTCTTACACAGAAAGAAATTATTAGCTGCTAATGTCTGATCAGAATATGAGAATTATTAAACTTCATTTTAGCATATTATCATGCAGTCACTTTGATTCTGTAACATCTATACAACCTGAGCATTCAGCTGGAGAATCTCTTCCGCTGTCTTCTTTTACAATGTTGATGGGATAGGAGAGACAATAGACTGGCACTTGATAACGAGTACCCAACTCATCATAGCATTCTGTCAAGAAACCTGCAATGTGTGATGTATTACTGTGATGACAATTATTACAAGAAGTCAAAACTTTCAATCTTACGTTGCTCACAATATATGCCATGCTGATGGTTATCTTCTGGGTAGTAGTACCATGTAGCCTGGTAGAAGTTTACCAATGCTACCATCTAGAAGATAACCATATTCATACTCACAACCATGAGAATCTAAAATCCTACATATACCATTTTGGCATGACCATCAGCATACACTGACTTCCAAGATTTTGTACAAAGCACACTCAAAAGGTTTGGTGGTTTTTACTTTAAACTCGTACAATGAATAACAATTTTCAAGACACAAACACTTTTTAGTACAAGAGTATATTTTCACTGTAGTATTATTAATGGGAACAAAATTACTATGATATATACCTCTTTTTCTTTTACATACATTTTTGCTAAACTCACCTTAGATGTGCAGTGAGTAGGTTCATAATATGTCAGTGGCAGAAACAACTGCATTACTTTCCTTTCCCATTCAAAATGGAAAATATTTCTTTAATATTAAATCTGTGTAAAACGTGGATACAAAAGATGACGATCTTCTGTGTTCTAGTGCCATGTGGACTGGTCAGTAGATGTCATTAAAGGATTTAATACAGATAAAATTATCCTCCCAGAAAACTTCTTGAACACTAAGACACTTGAAAGAATAACTATTATGTTTAATGTTTAGGAAAATGTCCGAAACAACATTACCGACTGGGTGGTGGAAGAATAGTGCTATATAACTGACAAACATTCTGCCATTCATTTCACAGTACAGGATGATATTATCATTAGACACCAGACTTTTTAGTGCTGATAAGAGTTCATATATCTCTTAAGATGAAACCATGCATCACCTGTAAGATCTACACTTCCAAGACGTTGTACCATTAACTGTTGAAACCATGCATAAAAATACACATCTTTCCTTATCCACTAGGAGAAACATATAACTAATGACAAGGGGCAATTTCACTGTCTTGGTAGCTCTTTGACCTCTGGTGTGGTGTACTTGGGTCTCTTAGGGAAAGCCTATGGAATGATTTGGAAGGAAACACCAGCAGCCACTCCTTTACAACCTGTACTGTTTAAATGGACACATTCTGGCCACCTGCATCCCATAGCTTGAAGTTCAAAGTGACTAATTTTCACCAAGTTTAAAATACAGCATTTAAAGGAACAGCAGAATAAAGACAGACACCAGTGTATGCCTTTACCATTAGGAACTGATATGTTTGCTCCATCTAGAATAGCTTGTGCAAGTTCAAAATCAACAGCTTCTGCTGCTACCGCTGCTGCACGCAAAGCATCCCAAATCTCTTTTCGTCCATCAAATGCTGGAGCTGTGTCCCAGAATTCATCCCTCTTACTGCGAAGCTGGCCTTCAGTCAATGGCACATCTGACTTCCAGCGAATAGTTTCATGGCACAAGGGGTGGTTCTTCCGTGTATTTCCTGTAAGTTTTTGAGCTGATAAAAATATTACATAAAACACAATAACTGTCCCAAATCATGTTGTCATTACGTTTATAACACAATGTAAGGGTTCGGAATTAACGACTCATTGGACCACTGTGTTTTAATAAATAATATAGTAACCAAATTCCGGTAAAAACTTATTTCCTTGACCCAAATGAGACATACAAGTTTTACCAAGGTTATCACCAAAAGACAAATATATTTAGATTTTACCTGAATTTGGCCTTGTAACATTTCCTGAAGGGTCGTCTATCCCATCACTTCTGGATCGGCTGATTCCTATGCACCCTCCCATTCTGAATGCCTCGATCTTTGCGGCATTTCAGTAATATTTCTTAGCATTTCACATGCTTCTTCCATTTTCCAACCATCATTCCATCAACTGACAATATCGCAGCGGCGTAGTATGGAAAAGTGGGCAGAGGACTCTGTGTTCGGACTGGAATCAATTGCACCAACGTAAAGAGTTCCGTTGTTTACAATCAGTGTGTAGTAAAGGGAACAGGGATAATCCGATGGCCTTAGTAATACAACCCGAACAATAGAGCATGATTCCTGACAATTGGCAATCTGTGGTTGTGTCCGCATGTACCAACATAGTGGTTATGAACATGGGGGAATTTGATTGCTATTGTGGGAGACAGGTGGACTCGAATAGTCTGTGATAATAATTGCTGTAATTCAAATATTATCTTTCGAGGCAACAAAAATGGAGGTGGAATGGGATAGTGAATGGTTTAATGGTATGATAAATGAAACAGTTGTGGAAGATAAACATTTTAGGAACAAGTGTTCCGATTTTGCAAATGGTGAATATTATTGAACGTTGTGTATTTTGGAGTGTTTTGTTCGTCGAAAGTTCATTAACAAACTAATAAACATTGCATCCAACATTCTTTTGATAAGCTCAGTTAATCAAGAACCTCGTATTTTATGGAATCTTAAGGTTCATTACCTATCCTGAGCTAGATCAATCCAGCCCAAACTCTCGCACCACATATTTCTGGAGACCCATTCTCCCCATCTTTTCTAAAATCCGTCAAGTTTTCTCATAAGCCTTCCAGCCACCCAACCCCTTTGATTTGATAATTTTAAAAAGGTTTGTTGCTGGTCACAATGGCTGTGTAGTATGTGGGCCTTGATTGCTTGGGCACTGGGATTGTGGGTTCAAATCCCTCTCAATGCATGCTAGAGGCCTTGTGATGGGCTGATTACTTGTCCAAGGAGTTTTACCACATGTCTAAGTATCTTAAGAAACTTCCCACATGTGAGGTGGCAAAGGTCCTTCAATGTCAGTAGAGCCAAGAAGTAAGTAATAATATTTGGAGGAGGACAGAAGTCTCATTAACATAATAATTTGTAGGTGTGGAAATTAACCATAACCATAAGTCTGCCTCAAATTTATCAACTGATGATTTTAAGCAGCATATGTAAAACATTTTTACCATTCTATGCTTCAGGTGTCAAGAGTCAGAGTGCAGATCTTTTGAAGTTAGTAGAAAAATTGGGACCTGTACTTACAGACAAAAAACCAGAGTTGAGAGTAAAAGGAACACAAATTCTAGCAGAGGTTATCCAAAACCTGCCACAAGATTGTCTGCAAGAAAAAGAATTACGTTTCATGACAGCTTTCTTCTGTGATCGCCTTAAGGACCATAACTCAGTTATTCCAGCAGTTTTGCAAGGAATTCTTGCAATTGTATGTACATACAAATTTACTCACAATCAGTTTGGTTTTGAATACGTTTACTGTTCGATGTAGCAAGCGCACACCTCACATATCAGCATTTGGTAAACTTGGGAACATGATGTATTTTACTGAAGGATTTGTTATGTTGATGGTGGTCTTCTGCATTGTGACGCCATGTTTATTTGTAGGTGGATACCACTGTTTTTGAGAAACATACTGCATCCATCTTCAGGGCTGAAGAAATGAAGTGTCACTACTTAGAATGGAATTTAGTTACATTCCATAGATCCTTCATAGGCCCAAGCCAAGGATAAAGAACATGTCATAGCACAAATACAATACTTGTTTCTAATACAAATATAAATTACATAGTTATGACAGTAATATACAGTCAACTACAGTATTATGAAAAAAATAATTATACAAGAAAGCATAACCACTATTGCTTACATGTATTTATAGTAGTTAAGAATTTTTGGTTGAGGTATATTCTTCTATAGAATGAAAGGAGTGAGATAGGAGATACTATTTAGTGCTGGTTCAGATTTCTTTATATTATAATCCAGACTTTTTATTAATTGGGGTGGGGAGATTATTAAATAGCTTAATTCTGTATAGTGAAACTCATATTTGATATTTACCGAGTTTAGTATTTGGCATGTGAAGGTTGTATCTGTATCTTTTACTTATGTTGTGGATATCCGAGTTTGTTTGAAATTTTTTATATTGTGCACTTCAAATGATAATGGCTAGTGGAAGAATATTAAATTTATTAAACATTTCCCTATATCAGGCTCTCCTTTTAGTGCCTGCTAGTATTGAAAGTGTATCTCAGTTGTATTTATCCAAATTTACATTTTATTCAGTCTTACTCTAATATCCAATTGAAATTTCTTGTCTGAGTTGCTTTTCTCTGCCATCTGCTTATACCATAATTCTTTGTATTCCATTCTCTTATTCATCTGTTACTCTCCTTACTACCTCAGCCATTATCATTAAATAATTCACTGTCTAACCTGTATATATGTATAGAAACTTTTATTTTCTTGCCATCTGTGATTACAGTGTTCACATTATTAATAAATTTTCTTTATTCTCTTTATTAGCCCTCTGGATACATTTGTGTTTTGTAATGCTTTACATGTTTCCTGTCTAACTATAGTACTCTAGAATTGGCCATGGCATGTTCAGTTTGGAAAGTGTTATTAAATAAACCAAGAGTCTAACTGTCTTTGACTTTTGCATTGCTGATTATTTTATATAATATTTTCTTACCATAAATGTTTGCTTTGTTTCTAAGTGGAAGTGTTTCCCTAAATTTGATAATTACAAATGGTGATCAATTTTGGTGGACTTACTTGGCCCCATTTTAAAGTTATAGGGGTATTATACAAATGTGTGTGTTACAGGTACAAATGAATAACCTTCCAGAAGATGCCCCAGCACAGATAGTGACTGCAATGTTTCAGCACGTTCATTGTCAATCTCATAAGCAACCAGACCGTAGCACTATCTATAAAATACTTCAAGTATTTATTAAAAATTACAGCAAAGGTAGGTAATGTTATAAACAGTCTATTTTAACAGTACACCTGTTTCTTTCCTCAAAATATACATGACATACGTTGTATACATTTCATAAGAATATTTACAATATTGTGGTAAAATATGAAATTATGATTGTGTGATCAGGAAAGATAATTGTATTATGTGGCATATTCTTGGCTCTAACTTGGTAGGATAACAGTGTAATGGATCTTTGCATGAAGTACCATACTAGGTATATGTGTCAGGTTTTCATGCTAAGAGGGTTGTTATTTCTGAAAGTGGCAAAATAATTTCTTATAATCAGTCATTTCATTATGAATTTATTTGTCAAAAATTCTTCAAACAAAGTATGTGATGTTATTCTGTTCCTAATACTAAAATGTCTGTTACAGAATTAAAGCTGCTTGGTCCTGACTTTGTTTTTGGCGTGATATCAATGGTCGATGGTGAGCGAGATCCACACAACTTGTTGTTGCTGTTTGGCATGCTTCCACACTTCATTAAAACTTTTCCTCTCGGCCATCTAACAGAGGAGATGTTTGAAGTACTGGCATGCTACTTTCCTGTTGATTTTTATTCAGTGAGTATAAAAACATCTTAATGTAGACAGAATAATGTAATGATTGTTTAGAATGCTTTACATTACCAAGAACTTTGCTATGGATAATTCCATTCTTTCAGGATTTCCTAATATTTTTCCCAGTTTCTTCCTTGCTGCTGTGAACTTCAAAGGCTGGAGTTCATCAGAACATGCTTTCCTAAGTTATCTCATCCTCAAGGGTGTTGGTTTCAGAAAAGTTAACTTTATTAAGTTTATGAAAATTATATTTTAATATGTATTATCTTTTATTCATGTATTATGACTCTTTTATGGGTTAATCCAGCAATTATCAAGTGTGTTTACAGTTGTTTCAAAGTGCACACAAATCCCTAAAAATCCATTGGATCCTGGGATGTCTACCACTAGTTAAGGTTGCAGTGAATGTATTACAAATATTTAAGAATAAATTTTTATTGCTGCAAATATTTGATTAATGTAGTAGAAAGTGCCCCATGTTAAGTGGCTAGATAGAAGTGCGGAAAGTCTGGTCTATGAGTTGATTTGCTTGAATAGAAAATACTAAGTCTTGTGCATAAGAAAGGTTTTATTGCCTTGTGAACTGATTCTTAAGTGTCTGCAGTTATATTAATTGGATAGATTATTCAGAATCATATGAGTTTTCTGCATTTGTGCTGTAAGTAATTTATGTAAGACTTATGTCCTGAGTATGTAAGTTTAGTTTCTTTGCTAAGAGATAATTAAGTTAATGTATTTATCTGTAACAGGTTCCCAACAACCCAAACACAGTTACTCGTGATGACTTGGCAGCTGCTCTTTTACCATGCCTTGTAGCCACACCTGCTTTTGCAGAGTTCTGCATTCCATTGTTGTTAGAGAAGTTGGACTCTAAACTCCGCATAGCGAAGCTTGATTCTCTTCGATTACTGGTAAGGGATAATACTTTGTCAGTTCAGGCTATTGTAAATGAACACTTTTTAATTTTTTTCAGGAAAGTGTTTATTTAAAGCTATGCTATGGTTTGCAGGCTGCATTTGGCCACGTGCTTATGAGTATGCATGGAGTTTAATTAATTTATTACATGGATGACCTTAATGGAAATGTAACTTTTTTTATCAATTTGTTATTATATCTAACATTTTTGCAGTTATATTTGAATTAACAAAAGCACATTAAATTAAAATTTGTAGTTGAAGAATATAGAAGACATTAAAATTATATGATACATGGAGCCATTTATTCAGTTTATTCATCTGTATATTCAGTTGAAATGTGGTTTATTCAGTGGTATGGTGAGCCATGGTTAACGTCCACTACAATACTATAATCTGTATATAATAATTCACATTATTCATAGAGATTAATCAGAAGGAGTAATGGCTTGAACTGGCTTGAGACAGGGCCAGTTAGTTGAGTCTTATAAATATAGCATTGAACTTTGTAATCATTAAAATTAGTGGATCTGTAGGTTGACTGAGTAACTGTCAACTTTAAAAGAAAATTCTGCTCTATGAAGTTAGTTTGTAAATAATGTTGTCATGGGTTGTCTTACTTTCTTTCTTTCTTTCTCTCTCTATATCCTCTTTTGCTCGTAGGTGTCGAGGTTTTTATTTATTAATTTTGGTCTATTTGGACAATGGTAGGACTCCTTGGATGCGTGATCAGCCCGACGCAAGGCCCCTACCTATACAAACACAGAAAAACACGGACAAACATCCATGCCTTGAGTAGGACTCGAACCCACTGTCCCAGCGGCCAGGCGCACAAGGTCCATGCCTCAGACCGTGTGGCCACTGCGGCCGGCGGGTTGTCTTACAAGGGAATAAAATGTTAAAATGATATGATTATAATCATGAATTAGTAACAGAACCTATTATGTTTCAAAACTAACACTCTAGAAATTCAGTTGTTATTTGGAGAAAAACCTTTTCCTGCATATATGTGTGAAGAAAGTAGTTCCCACTTTGAAATCTTTTGATTTATGTTATAAAGAGGTATTTTAATGTTTTTATGTGAAGTATATATATGAAAATGCTTTTTTGCATTATTGGTGCACCAAACATAATACAGTACTAACCTAGATACTGTATGAGCTGGGATAGCTCAGTCAGTATAGTGACTAGCTACGGGCTGGACGACCGGGGTTTGATCCCCGACGGGGGCAGAGGATTTTTCCTCTAGCCTCTGCGTCCAGACCGGCTCTGGGGCCCACCCAGCCTCCTCTACAATGGGTACCGGGGTCCTTTCCCGGGGATAAAGCCGGCCGGGGCGTGATGCTGACCACTCACCCCATCTAGTGCTGAGATCAAGGAAGAGAGGAGCTATACCTCCACTCACCCCAAACGCCTACATGGCGTATAGTGGGACAAACTTTACCTTTTAACCTAGATACTGTGAAATTTCTGTATAGAATTGTCAGTCTGAGGCAATCTCTCAATTGTTATCATCATTATTGTGTAATTATTTGAATCTGGCCAAAAATAGAATCTAGTGACTTTCTGATGTTAGGATAACATGATAACGTTTTTTAAGTTTTAATGTTATCTCATATCTACTATTAAGTCAAAGTGACTGTTCTTGTGTTTTGTTGGTGAAGTTTAAAAGTGTAAGAATGGTGGTAGATGAAAATTCCTCTTTTTTGCTTCCAGCAAGAAAGTTGCAAGGCCTTCTCAGTAGAGGGAATGGAGGAGAATCTGTGTGATTTGTTCCAGTCACTTCATCGAGAAGTGGTTCCTGGATCAGACAAGGATGTGTGTAAGGAAGCTCTTGCAGCACTCAAAGAACTAATTAACATGCTGTCTGTTGTACCTATTAGCAAGGACCAAGCAAAGTTGTTGCATAAGATTTTGGAAAATGTCATCAGCGGTAAGTTGCAAAAGACACTAACATTGTTACTGATCAAGCACAGAATTTTGCTTGTAGTTTTGTATGGGTATGAAACTTGGTCTGTGTTGCTAAGGGAGGAACATAGACTGAGGGTGTTTGAGAACAGGGTGCTGAAAAGAATATTTGAACCTAAGAGGAATGAAATCATAGAAAGCTGGAGAATGTTGCATAATGAGGAGCTTCACAAGTTATACTCCTCGCCAAATACAATTAGGCAGATTATGTCAAAGATGGTAAGATGGGCAGGGCATGTAGACTATTGGAGGGAAGAGGCAATGCAGAAAGAGGGAGACCACTGGGAAGACGTATATGTAGGTGGGAGGATCTTAGAGAGAAAGGATGGGATGGTATGGACTGGATTCATCTGGCTCAGGATGGCGACCAGTGGCTGGATCTTGTTAACATGGTAATGAACCTTTGGGTTCCATAACATGTTTGAAATTTTTTGAGTGGCTGAGCGACTGTTGGCTTCTCAGGAAGGACTCGGCTGCATTATGGCTGATTCATTGGTGATCTTATAGTTGACTCAGCTACACTGGTTTTCAGTATGTTAAGCAAACTATACAAACATTTTAAAAATTAATACATTTCTTCTGTACCTGTTGTAATGGTTGTCCTGTCATTCAATCTCCACAGTGTCATTTATGAAATATTGATACACCAGCTTAAACAAGTTTGATATTAAAATGAGTAGAGGTTCTATATTCTACATCCTCTGTACATACCAGTAACATAATGGGAGTGACCATTTGTGTTCACAGCTGCTTGTCAAGAATTACAGGGTGTGCAGTTAAGTTTATTTCTTCCAACTGCTCGAATGCTGCTTACAATTACCCAAGCCTCAGCTGCAGCTTGCCATCAAATTATCACTGTGGTATGTTAAGAACATCTACACTTGACTGTGTGAAATTTGTAGCATATTTTTTCCATTGCCTTATATGCTGTAAATGAATACACTTAATGTTTGATATGTTGCACTGATTTTAATTATATATTAATGCCTGTCTTACATATACAACATTCACTCTGTGCTTTTTTCTTATTCATGTTCAGAATATTAATTTTTAACAAAGGTTTATTAATTCTCAGCATGGCTCAGGTTTTTTTACACAGTTCCAGAATCGCATGTAATTTAAGAGATGGAATTTGACTTTTGGATCCAACTCATTTTAGAGTCTTTAAGAACTGTAAGGCTAGTGCTAACTATTTTTGCAATTTCTCTGATGACAGGTTCCTCAAATATTAATTATATTCGTTTGTAGGTGGCACCGTTGCTGTTGATCCAGTATCATAAAGGGTCTTCTCTGGAGGAGAAGGTCATTCTGTTGCAGACTCTTACTGCATTTCTTGCAGTGTGTGAAGAACAACATGTCACTCCCATGAGTAAGGACAAATATAGTGTAATACATACAACTACAGTATTTATGTGAAAAAAGCTGCATCTGACTTTTAAGAATAATATAAAAATAAATAAAATCTCATGTGGGTCAACCAAAATATTTAAATTAAGTTTATTAACATGAAAATATATTAACTAAAAAGTTTTATGGATGTGTATTTCATATCCTGAAAAATATACTGTGACATGTCATATTTGTATAAATGTGTTCTATTTTGTAACTTCTCTGTGAGGTAGAAGAATGGAAGTCATAAATGTCCATCTAGAAATATTTTTCATCTTTATATTTAACCTTGAAGGCACATTTTGGATGGGATGTTTACACCCAAAATTTGTATATGTATGCAGTTTTGTTTAAGTTTTTTTTTCCTTGCTTTGCATAAATGTGTAATTTAATTTTTTGGTGATTTATTAATTATGTATTTAACAAAGAAATATTTAAGGTGATAGTTGCATATAGTGTTATTTAATGTGTAAACAGTTTTGTTTATATGCATGATTTTATATATCAATATACTGCAGTATGCAGTGTTTTAGGATTATATCTGTATGGTTGTAAGACTTCTTCAGTCACCAAGTGTTTGGAAACTTAGTACTGAGGAGAACATTAGGACAGAATGATATTGAACTAACAGAGAAATGGATAAAGTAGAAGCTGGAAAACTTGGAGCTTTATAATGTTTAGGCTGATGAAATTGAGTAGGTTAAGGTGTGCAAGACAAGTAGCACACATATTGGAATAAAGGCCAACTTCTGTGTCATGAACAGTGCTCTACAAGAGCAATGTTACCATGTCTTTGAAATGCATTTTTTTAAAAAAAATAATATTAGGCAACCATTATGTTACACAGTATTTTTGATTTATGATGCCCACACATTTCAGGCACTTCTGACCTGGCTGCAGTATGGGCAGACATTTGCAACGTGTATATGAATGCAGCACATCATGTGAAACCTGAGATTCGGTTGGAAGGTATTCATGGTCTCTTAATCGCAGCAAGGTCCTTAAGTTGTGAGGCAAGATCGGAATTGTATGAACTTCTGTGTACCTGTGTGAAGCAGGAAGATTCTTCTCAGGTCAGGTGGGTAGTTGTGAAACGTAAGAAAAGAAAATAGTTTAGTATTTAGATATCTTTTATGAAACTTCTCTTGAAAAGCTTTATAGATTAATTGGACTTTTGATTTAATGTCTCTAGATTGATGTGGATAGGGTCAGTGTGTGCTATCAGCTATCTACCATGTAATTACACTTGGAAGGTTTGTGCATTATGTGGATGGATTGTAAGTTCTGCAGAGTTTTAGATTTCTAGCTTCAGTACAGGAGACTCATTATATGCACTTTGGCTATCCACATTTTCACATATCCGTGGTTTTATTTCAGTATTATGAGGAGCATCAGTATTCTGTGTCCAAATTTTAAAGCTTAATACATATATCAAATCTCTGTATAGATCAGGGAATGTGATGCAGATGATACAAGCTTAGCATCAAAGAATTCCGGCACCAGTTTAACATAATATGATGATTGTTATATATGTTTTCTGTTTTATGTGTTTTTATTATATGTAGAAATTTTCAGGAACGAGGGTTACCTGTGTTACGATTTGAAAGTTATCTTACTGTTCCTGATTTAATTGTGGCTGCAGACTGACCTTTTGGTAGGATAGAGATAACACATATATTACTTGTTCTTGGTTGACATGATTAGTTCATCTGGAGTATGTGAGTTAACCCTTATGGTATTTATTATTTTTTCACTGCTTTGTTAAAAGAGTGTAATTTTAAGGTAAGGATTGGAACTCATTTTGAGAGTCAGGTTAGTGTATACATGTATGAATAAAAATAACAAAAATTACCAACAGACTGATCAAATTCTGAATGTAATGTTTACAGCCTTTTAACCACTTAAAATTGAGAAATGTTGCCGCATGTGTTAAAGTTACTCAAAACAAAAACAAAAAAAGAATTTTCAGCAGCTTAATGACATTTTGTACAACTTAACGCTCTTCACATTAGATGGCAGCACTCGGAGAGTAAAGTTGAATGTAGCAGCAACAGGAAAAGACCAGTCTTTTATGTGGACTAAAGCTGAGTTTTGTTGCGTAAGGTGAGGTGTTGCAGTGAAAGGGTTAATTACAGTTTGGAAGTTACATGCAACTTTGTCGCATCTGGCTAGTCTAACCTGGATAATTAATCATTTACTTCATTGAGTAGTATAAAGAATGACAGGAAATTGTGTACTGCATGTTAAAAGTGTCTTTTCTTTCAGACAGGAAGTTAGTGCTTGTTTAAAAGAATTGGCCAAATTATATCCTGATGAAGTAATGGAGGCAGCTGTATTGTCAAAACTGCAGTTGCTTGAAGGTAATAATTTCCATAATGAAGTTTGCAAGTGACTTGAATTAAGTATCTGAGGTTGTTTAGGTGAATGAGGCATCTGATCAGGTGGAGCACTTTCTGTTCTAACTGATTTTGATTGTTTTACTCAGTCCCTCTGGATAAATTCTGCAGTAGGATTCTGATATATTCAGGTTTTTGTGCAGTCCTTTCACTTTTCATGCATTCTTTGTTTTTGTTTTTTAACTGTTTACTGATTATGTTTTTCCCAGTTTTTCTCTATTTTTATTGCATTATGATTTGTCATTCTGTATCCTGTGATCAGTATGATAAATCACATTTTTGTCATTTACATTTATCTCATTTATTCTTTTATTAACTCTCAACATTTTGAATCATGCAAAGGCATTGGTGTGGTTATTACTTCATAAAAATTTAGTGTCATTTGCTTTTGACAGTTTGTTGAGTGGTGTATATTTGCTTTTCCTAAAAGTTTGTGTTCTGTATTATGTTCAGGTTCTGGAGATGCCTCTAATGCTCTGATACTCGCTCGTTGTATGGATGCCTTATGTGCAATTGCTGTAGAAGAATCATTTACAGCCTGCATAGTCCCTCAAATTCTCAGTTTCATCACTGGAAAATTTCAGGCAGATGAATGTAGTGCAGGAATTAAAAGTCTTAGGTAAGGATACTTGTGTGTCAGAATTGTGCTGACGTTTGAAAATTTAGACTACCGTGGCTTTGTAGTGTGTTTTATGTAGGCTCTGTACATTTTGTGTGTCACTGTAATGAAACTATTGTCACCACCTAAATTAGATATTTAATTTCAAGTAAATAATGAGAAATAAATTAAACATTTTGAGGAAAACTAATGAGTAGCATATGAAGCTGTAAATTAGGAGCGTTTTTTATTATTTTCTTTATGTTTTAGTAAATTTACATCATTTATATCTGACAGTCTGCGAGTTGATAAAGGATGAATGTGGGTCTAGGTCTTACTCTTCTGTTTTCCACATAGGCACTTCTCTTATATCTGCAGCTACTCTTTTCCTATTCTGACTTTATATCTTCCATTGTTTTATTTCACCTACTGTTCCATGGTTTTCCCAATGGTATATTCAGCACTTTCATCTGTCATGCTCAGAAAGGAATCCAAGGTTAACTGTTCAAACATGTGTCTTTACTAATGTATCCTTTATTTTTAATTTGATAATCTTCTCTTTTAGTGTTTCCATTGTAAAAATTTAAAATTTGTGCATGGTAACATTTAATTTCTTTCGGACAACAACTTATGTTCACTTGTGCATTTATTTATATCCCTTAATACTGTATGCTTATTGTTCTGTAGAAAGTTAGTTGAAGAACCAGAATGTGACTCCAAGCTGCACAGATATTTGTGCGTGCAATGTGATGCCATATCTCGGCTTGTCTCATGGTGGCTGCATGGTATTTGGGAGGACAAACATCCCCAAATATTCCATAATGAAGACCTCTTAGTTGACAGTGCCAAAATTGTCAGCACAATTTTAAGGAACCAGTCAGAAAGGTAATTCCACATACAATGAATGATGTTGCATATTCCAGAATTTAAAGTAGAGCATCATAACTTGTGTGTTCATAGAATTATGAATTTGGTAAGTAAAGTAATTGGCTCTTAGGTTTCTGAGAAAGCTTGGATATAATCTGGTTCTGGAGGCCAGTGGTAACTCTCAGGAGCATTTTATTTTGCTAAGTTATGACAAAACGATGCCTCGTTAAACAACATTGATTACAAATTGGGTAAATATGGTGGTATATAGAAATTTGTATTTCTAATGAATGTTAAACCCTAAAATACTAATTTGTTTGCTTCTTAGTTTGCATAGACTTTATTAATATTGCCCTGCAATGTGAATGCTGTAGAATACATTACAGTGGAGTTGTGTTACATATTTGTGCTTTATCTTATCAGAAAATGTATACAAATTTTGATGTAAGTGGAATGTGCTTCCCAACAGAATGACTAATGTATGACTTACAAGTATAAATAAAGTTGGAAAAATTAAAATTATTTTAAAAAATTACATTTAAAATTGTGCATCACAGTTTTACCGTTTGTGGGATTTTCAAGAATGGCAAGGGTGTGCTGTACAACATATTACACTGATCATATACTTGCAGAAACAGGCTGACACATGCAGCACTGCCCCACTGCAGTAATGGCAATCATTTTAAAATGACCTGTGTAAATGTCGGGTTGAAAGGTTAGATGAAGAAACAAACTTGAATTCTTCAGACTACTTTGCAGTGTGTTTGTTCCTGTGATCCTGTTGATAATATTTTGGATCTGCTGTCTATAACATTGTCTCTTTAACTTGTTGATATTCTTCCCTTGTTTGTTTCAGTGTTCAGTCTGATATAGTGGCAAAGTTTATTCCGTGTTTTTTGGATTCTGGGCCAAGTTTTGAAGAGAATGTCAGGCCGCTTGAGGCATCATCATCATCACAGCATCTAACTCACTCTGTAAGTTACTCTCCATGAATTCATTCTTTGAATGTTTGTGGCATTGATAATGTAGTATAATTTAAATATAATCTGTACAGTGATTAACAGTATATATCAAATTAGTGTGCATCATTTAGTGTATTTCCATCTTGTTAATATGATAGACATACATTTTGACCAGATGATTGTCAGTTTTGTTTGTTGCACTTAGAATACAAATTTCTTTACAGGACCTCATTTCCTGAATCAGAGCTATGTGCATTACAATCTATACTCATTAAATTTCTCTAGTACATATTTGGATTATATGCAAACTTTGTATATTTATGTTTTAACAGGCCTTGTAACTTGCAAAACATTTAGTCTGTCAGTTGGTGAAAGTCCTCTAATTGGCTGGCTGGCTACTGTTACAAGTGCAGTCAGTTATTGTTTCAGATTCTGAAATATTGGGTATTCAACATATGAGGTGCTACCCAAGAGTTCGGGGAATTTGAATTCCACGCGTAAACGTCCGGAAAAGTGGGAGAACAACAGCTGGGTTCTCCACCACGACAACGCGCCTGCCCGCACATTGCTTGTTGTTCGGCAGTTTTTGGCTTCCAAAAACACGACAGTTGTTCCCCACCCACCCTATTTGCCTGACCTCGCCCCCTGCTACTTTTTCCTGTTCCCCAAAATGAAATTTTGATTGAAAGGCCATCGTTTTGACACAATTGAGGAGATCCAGGCAGAATCACAGGAGGTGCTTAAAACACTCACACTTGACTTCTAGGGATGCATGGAATCATGGAAAGAATGCTGGGATTGCTGTATCCATGCCCAAGGGGACTACTTTGAAGGAGACAGTGGAAACTAGGAGTTATGATAAGCAATTTTATTGTTATGGGCAAATTCCCTGAACTTTTAGGTAGCACCTCGTATGTGCACCCTCTAATTTATTCTTTTTATAACCAGATCTGTGGTCTTATTATGCATTTATAGTGAACAATTCATATACAAGGTGATGCATTATGAATTCATTTTGTATATTTTCACATTTATATTTACTTCTAATAGTGTAATTTACCATTTTACTGTTAATGAAGGAAAATATTTCATTCAAATGTGTTTTGGTAAAATCCACCCCATTGTCAGAATTTGTAGTAGGCCTGTTTTATTTCTGCGCTTATAAATATTTGTACCTTCAATACTCAATGTGTATTCAAGACATGCAGGAAGTTTTTCCTGTGGATTTTTTTAAAAACAAGATATAAATTTAACAATGTTCTGTCCACATATGAGCATGCTTTTCCATGTGATGGAACTATTAAAGAACTCTGTCATTGCTTTATTGTCCTTATAATAGGATTTATTTTTTCCAGGTGGTGTTACTGGAAGCATTACTAAGTCCTCTCAGGCAGAATGTAGACATTCCGTCACTGTCACACTTAGTTATGCAACTTAAAACCCATGCCATTCACACATCACATTCTCTTACATCAAGAAGTGCAGCTCGGTTGGTGGCTTCTATTGTAAATAAAGCTCATGATGGTACGTTTTAATGCATTCACACCCAGCCCAGACTGCCTTATCAGCTTATACATTTTTGCCCAATTGAAAAGCATTTACAGTCCTACTTTTTAACCTGTCTTTGATGACAGTAAGAATTCTTACCAACTTCTCTTACCAATGCTTGAGAGCATTGACATGTCTCTGAAGTTTCTTTTTGGCTATTGTTTCAGAACAGTAAGAAGTCCCTCAAAATTCTTCGACCAGTCCTCAAGAACACCAGAAAATGCTTTGTTATGACATCAGACATTTCTGGTGCAACTACTGACCTCAAAATATTGTGTAAACATATACGTTATCTGAAGGAACATATTTTTTAACATCTGTAATATTACAGCACCATAATCTGAAACTTTCCCTAGTGACAGTTCACAGCTGTCAGTTGACAAGCTGACTACAGCAGAAGACAAGTACTGTCACACCTGTTACATCATCTGTAGTGTTATTGGCTGCCATTTTAAGAACAATATGTATGATCAATTGGTAGCATGAATCAACTGAGAGAAGTGATGTAGGCGGGTGGGACCCAGTGGGAGATGTCATTGTTTAAATTTTGGAGGGAATGAGTGCAGGGCATAAAGATCATCAAGCTCTTGTGTTCCAAAAACATTATCATAGTCCTAACAAATATGAGCAATATACCAGACCAATACTATTCTGATGAGTAGCAGCATAAGCTTGTACATACAGTCTTTTTCTTTCATTTTGTATGTATTTCACTTACATGGTTGTCACCCAAACAGATATCATATGACCACTCTAAAGTTAAACTCTCCTTGTCAGTTTCCTTGGAATCTCCAGTACACAGAAGTGATTTTGAATTGGCTCATTATGGCTTGGTTTATGTAATGAGACAGAAAAGCAGGTGTTCACTGACTGAAGAATGGTATATAGCAGTATCCATTCCATGTGCGTGCACATTGCAGGAATGTTATTTTGGTGCTAGTACTGAGCAGAATATGTCATACTATTGTACCTCCTGACTTTCTCTTCTTGAAGATATCAAGATAAATTATGTGAACAGTCCATTCTGGAATGTGGATTTTTTTTTCCCCTAGGCTGGAGAGTTATAGAGGGTGGCTGGTTGAAGGTACAGTTGTAAAAGTAAAGCTGTGAGTAGCCAACAAAAAGAAATTGGTGACCAGTTAGGAATTGATTGTTATGATGAAGGTGAAGGAGGAAAGGTCTCATTTAATATGACATTTTACAGGTATGTAATATTAAGAAAGTAACAGTGATGATTATTTTGCTCACCATAATGAAATGATCATTATAGGCTGTTCTTGTTTTGTTGTAGTTATACCATGTTATGTTAGGATGAATGTCAGTTCTCAGTAGGTTATAATATTGTTGATCGCTTTTTTTCCAGATGAAAATTTGTCCACATTGCTGTCTGATCTGTTGGTAATGCTAATGGATACTTTAAATCAAGATGGTGTTCCTGTAATGAAGGCTACCAATGCTGTTAGTTTATTTTCATGGCTTACGAAAGCTCTTGTTATGAGAGACCATAGACTGACAGATACATGGGTAGAGAAGTTCGTTGGTATGCTGAACCATGTTGTTGTTGGTACATGTGTAGCTGAAGGATTTAAATTGATTATGACTGAAAATGATGAGTATATGAACTCTGACAACTACTGCAATATCAGGTCAGTCTTATGTATTTTCTGTTGCTTAAATAGGTTTACATTATGAGACATAATATATCTGTCCATGTGTTTCATTCTGAAAACTAATATATTGACTTTGATGAAATTTTCTTTTTTGGGGTTAAAAGTTTTGTGGTGAATTTTATTTTGGCCAATATTGGTCCACTGCAATTTGCCTTTCACAATACCACTTTGCATTAAAATTTTACCATTTATCATTGGTCTACCCACGGTTACTATCAAGAGAAACGTGAAAGAGTGGGAGTCAGTATACCTTCCACTTATGTATTTGGTAAGAAATTGGTGTGAGTTTCTTAAGCTTGCATATGGTTCTGCATTCTTAATATGATCAATCATCATTGTGTTCTCCTCCAGGGTTTTGTATCGCCAGAGGTTTTTCCAAACTGTTCCAAAACTTGTAGAACATTATCATTTTGCACTTGATGCTGTGAAGTGTAACTTTTTAATTGCCTTGGCTCATATGCTCCAGGGAGTGCCAAGAGTTGTACTAACCATGAGTTTACCAGAAGTAAGTAATAAATTGTTTTAAATGTTACTTATGAAAGCTTTATTAGAAATAGGAAAAACAGGGATTTATTGTGTTTACAAAGATTTTAGAAATTTGTTCCCAAACCTAGGAGATTTTAACTGAAACTGTCGTAAATTGTGGATCGTGAGAAATGGGACAGAAGTTGACATCCGATTGTGTATGTAACATTTCTATTATTTTTGTTTTGTTATTAAATTACAACTTTTGAAATTTGTAAAGTAAACTACAGTTACAGTTAATACCCCTTTCTAGGGTTTCCTTTCATAACAGAATTCTGAGAATTTATCTCAGCAGATATAAAAAAAAATAACAACTGTTGATAGCTTTTCAGTTTCAGCTTTTGGTTTCACATAATTTATACTCCTTTTTACATTATGCTTTTCATTCCATGGTAAGAATATATATTGATGTTGTTTTGGAATGAAGTGCTGAGAATATTATTTGCGCCTAAATGAGCTGAAGTAAGAGAAGACTGAATAAAATTATATATTGTAGAAGTTTACAGTTTTTACTTGATGGGGTGATTAAATCAAGAATACTGAGATATGTGGGATATGCAACATGCATTCATACTAAAGTTTATTGGAAAATTTATGGAAGGGAATGGATCTTTGGCAGGCTGAGCAACAACCACCAACTGCTGAAGGAAGGTGTTGAACCATGGCATTGGTTAATTTGTCATTTAGTCAGTATTTGAATTTTAAAGTAAGAAATAATTAATGGAAAGAAATTTAATATTTGTTACAGCTGATCCCTCTTCTTGTGGTATCACTAGGACAGAGAGAGGTGGTTTTATTACTGTCTACTCTGGAAATATTATGTGATCTTCTGGAATCAAAGCAGCCAGTATTAGAAGAGCATATTCAGACATTTCTTCCGAAGTTCTTACAGTTAACACGATTTCAGGATTCCTTGGTAAGTCATAAATTAGAGCCACTGACTTGTGTGTTAAAAACAATAATCTTATCGCCAAAACCAGAGAAGGCACGAACAGTGCTTTTAATTTGTTTTAGAATATTCCATTAAAAGGGATGGAATTTAATGTTTATACAGAAGACATTTAAGGTGGCAGGTGAAAATATAAAACAGTAAAGTTATAATACAAATTATTTTACAGTTAACAAAGAAATTGGCATTGAAATAAATAAGGATAATGGTGTGTGTATATACAATGTATTAAATGGAACATAAGACGTGTACAGAATTTAGGTGGGGAAACCTCTTGGAAGGTGGTCATTTGGAAGACTGAGAAGGATACTGAATTTTTGAGAAAGAGGTTGCATAGTAGAGTTAACACTTTGTTCCATTACCAAGGGGGGGGGGGGGGGATGTGTTTATGCACCTCAGTGTGTAAGTGTGATTGGTATCCAACAGTTTCAATCAATAATTAAGAATAATTTGAAAGTAATAAATATTTTGTTGATGGTTCTCTCTTACTGATGTTGCAGAAAGTCCGACTTGTTGCACTACAGTGTGTGCAGAAAATGTGTGCTTACCCCACACAGCTGCTTCTGCCTTATAAACAACAAGTAAGTATGAAGATCTCTGTCTTCTGGGTTGTTGTGCTGTGTAGTATGGTAGATGTTTAGTTGGGAAATTACTTGCAGAACAGTTTGTGAATCACTGGCACACAACATTAAAATCTATATTGAGCCCATAAATTTGTTTAATAGCATTTATGTATTAATGTTTTTTTCAGCTTTTGTACATCTTCTAACACCTTTATTTGTTAACAGACTGTTCATGAGCTGGGACCTTGTTTGGATGACCCCAAGAGATTAGTACGGCAGCAGGCAGTGTGTGCTCGTTCCCACTGGTACCTCATTGGTGCGCCAGGAGAACCTGCCAAAACATGATGTTACATCACATTCTGCATTTGTTACTGTAAAACCTTATCTTTCAGTAAAATTGGCAAAAATACAACTTTTAATTGCATGATGTGAGATTAAGACAGTTTGACAAAAGTGATAAATATTGATGCATACCGGCCTGAAATACTGGAATTGTAAGGAAATTTTAATGTATGGGTAAAAATAATTTGAGAATTTCATAACTTTAATTTGAACACTCAATATTTCTCATAAACCAGGTTTCAGTTTATGCCATGAAGTATTAAAGTTATATTTAAATACAATAAAATTAATTTACAGAATTCCTTAAAGTGATTGTATTAATTTACAATTTTAAATAATTGTTGTACAGTAATTATTTTTTATTCGTTTTTGTGGCTTGATTTCTAGACATTGCATCATTAATTTCAAATTTTGCACACTGAATCATGGCCTTCACAAATCCTAAAGGACATTATTACAATGCAGCATATTGTAGGTTATATTCAGGAAGCGTCTTGAAAGTTCCTAGACAGACGTCTACAAATTGACTACAAACCATTCTCCTTTCACAACTTTTTATTCAGTTCACCCTGATCCTGCGCAATACAATCAGATTCTGTCACAAATGGCCACCGCCATAGTAGGCCTCCGCAATTGTAGGCAGCTGCCTAGTGCTAGGACGACGCTGGCAGAGAGCCATTGTGGCTGTCTTGAGCGAGAATGTCCTTGGGCCGATCAGGTCGGCTTACACCGTTCAGTTTGACTTGCGCGAGAATATATTAATACATTCTATTATCGATAATCGTTCGGAAGTCCAAATCATTCCATTGTGTTTATTACAATTATTTCATAATAAATTTCAGGTCATCTGTGGTTAATGTCGTTCACAACACAGTCTGTGCCCAGAAGAAATATAGCCCAAATGAAAACTTTGTTTGAGAATTATGCGAGAATGGTGTGAACAATACCTTGATGTAAATTAGCGGAAAATGACGTGGTTATTGCATGACTACATAAGGGAAATTTATTATTCAGATAGTGCTCATTTCAATTTCTTAACATTATGTTAGTGACTAAGTAATAACAGTGGCGCAGATAATCCGTGGTTGGTAACAGAGCGTGGTTGGTCATACTGGTACGCTAAAGGCCTACCGAAACACAGATTTGTCCTAAATTAGAGAAATTTGAGTTTAGTTTTAATTTATTTCGCAAGAGAATTGTTACTGCCAATGCACTGAAAGTAGAAGTACTACTACACTTCAGTTTTCAAAGTTAGTGTTGTGACCCAGTTTTATAACCAAAGAAGCCTGAAATTCTTGCAGTAGTTTAGACCATATTGTGAAAATTACTAAATAGTATAGAATATAGCACATATTTTTCCTTCCTGAATGTTCATGTTATTGACGAATTTACTTCTCATTACATTTAATGTATACCTTTTATTATCGTTCATGTATTCACCTATGTCGGAACTGTGTAGTTATAGCTCTGAAATAATTTTGAAAAGTTATACTCCATTTCGTCACAGACTTACAGTTAATTTTCGTATTGGTAACGCCCCCCATCTAGTTCGACAATTTGTCAAGCAGTCACTAATAGTGTTTGTATAATTAGTTCCAATCATATCATTACAGAATATTTTACTAATCAATAATTGTAGTAGCAGTTTTGTCTACTGTTTGGAAATTATAATCCCCATTAAAAGTTTATAAATCTATTATATTCATTACATTATATGAATTAAGGTCGAAATTCGTTCTGTGTGGGATATAAGTTGTAGAAATGTGTGTAAAACATGAATATTCATATCATGCCCCTACATTCCCCAAAGGTCTCATGTTCTTATAATAGGATGTGCATTGTTGATGATCAAGTCTCATATGCAGTTTCACTTATAGTAGTACAGTTTTCCAATATGAGCCAAGAGTGTGTTATGTTTCCATTAAAATGTTTTGGCAATGAATGTAATAAGGGGTTCATGTTAGGTGACGTTACTAATATGCATGTTACCCCTTCAGTGATATATATGAAATGTGCAGTGAAACATAGAACTTTTGTCCAGCATGCACATAAAACTGGAATTGCTTTCAGGATGTAAGTTATTCTTATTTGAGTAAAATTACAAAGTAGGTTATTGCCACTATATTAAATTGCGCATATTAAAACTATATCATTGAACATGAAACTTTTCCCAATTTTCAATAGAAACTAGCAACTGGAAAACTTTACTGGCTTTTTATTACAACTAAAAATGTGGGAACAAGAGTTCTCACAGCTCATTTTAAATGTCAGTAAATTAAATATTTAATAAATCTGGTTGAAAGTTATCATGTTTACTTAAGATATTACACCATGTGTACATATGCATCATTAGCTGATGTGAAGTAACTTACTGTTACCACTGTCATGATATGTCACAAAACAGTGCCTTCATTCTCAGGTTAGTGACAGTAATTGGTTCAATATAAAAATAATACTATTTTGGTTTCATACTAAGCCAGTATTTAAAAGGTTCCAGGTTTGATTCCAACTATTGCTGCTAACATAAAAAAGTGTTAAAAATCTTTATGCATAATAACAACTAGTCTCCCAAAGATGGGAGTAGAGCCGACATCCATCAAATTGTGAATATCAAATATTACTCAGACAATGGATGATGCCCAGTGTAATATTCTTGAAAGTGCGTCTTGGTAACTAGTAACATTATGCAATGTAGGCATTACTGAATACTACTCTGGAAATGGGTATTTTGCTAGTGATAAGTCCTACAAGGAAGTATGTGTCATCAGAACTGAAGCTAAATGCTCATTTATATCTGCTGTCATAAAATGGTCTTTGATCATTTGTAGTTAATAGAATATGTTTGTTTTAAGATTACATCTGTTGAACCCATCAGATAAAGCTAAGAGATTGATATATAGCATTAATTGAAAGGTAATAAGAATTAGGTTTATTATAGCTGGTCTGTACACAGCAGTTGTAGCTTTTTAAGGGACTATCCCAGTCTTCTAGGAATTGTCAGCACAGACAGAGGAATATAACAAATGAAGCACAATGGCGATTGAAGAAGTCCAAAAATTTGAAATTCATATTGACAGAAATGTGTTATGAGAACTGGTCCATGGTCAAGTTTAGAACAGGATCTTCTAACTACATACCAAACATGTTGTCCACTAGGAAATATGTTGTCAGAAGAAAACCCTCTTCTCCCCAGTCTTATAAGACTGTTGCATGGATTTTTGCCAGTAATCATTCAGCATGTTTGACATTGTTTAGGACTTACCAAACCAATGAGCTTTTAATAACAGTTGTGTGACCTATGAGTCAGATTTTGCATTTTCTTTTCCCCCCATTATTCTGTTTCTGTTTCTGAAGATGGTAGTGAAAGCAATCCATGGTTTACTCATTTGGAAAAAAACTTGTGTATTTGTGTGTTCCTTTCTTTTAGGTTATCACTGCCCTTCTTGCTAATGTAACAGTTTCCATTTGTTGCAAAGCTTTTATTTTTGTTCTCATGGTGATAATGAAGGTTGTGTTGGTAGAGAGTGGCTAATTATTAGTTTATAATGTGGATAAGTGTTTAGAAGCAATATTACAAGTTATTCTTAATGTGTTTTAACTATATTAACAGTGAAAGTCCTGAGAGAAATATAAATTGGATCGTGAGAGAAACTTATGAAGCTACACATATTTTATTAGCTTCTGTCTGAATGATGATATCTGAGCAGTAACTTATACAGGTAAGTTACATTTTCCCATTCCTTAATATAAGTGCAAATCTTCTATCACAAGTTGATTACAGTAGAGAGGCTGTTTCAGAATGTTTCTGAATTGGTTGTATTGTTAATGTATGGTCTGTAATGTACATGAGTCATCTATGTCAAATGTAAAAGTTTGTAACATTACCATAAGAATGAAAACTGAGTCTATGGGGCACAGCATAGATGATCAAGACGTGTAGTGTGCATAAGAACAGGTTAAATTTGAGTAATGCTTGTTACAGTTCAGTTCAAACTTATATCATCCTTTGTTGTATCTAATACACAAAGAATTTTAATGTACAGAACTGTAATTGTACCTATTGTTTGTTCCTGATGGGTATGAAACTTTGTCTTTTGCCGTGAGGGAAGAACATGAATGAAGTGTGTTTGAGAAAAGAAAGTACTGAGGAGAATATTTGGACCTAAGAGAAAAAAACTGATATGCAGATGGAGGAAATTTTACATAAGGAAGGGTTTCATGATTTATATTCTTCTGCTGTTAGTAGAACTATATTTGTATCTAGGACATTAATTTCTTCCATATATTTTTTCAGTATAATTTCTTGTCCATAGCAGTTAAAATATTAGTTCACCATTAAGTATGCTCACAGAAATATGGTGATATCATCTTTATGATACAATAAATATCAACTCCAGCTTCAGATTATTTATTAAATGGTATAAAACCTGTGACCTTGAGAATATAGTATATAATTGTAATCACTGCAAAGACTTCTGGGGAAGGTTGTATGCTTTTAGACATGGTAACTGTACATAGTAAATGCAGATCAGTTTTCACTTTGGATAGTTTACTTTGTAATTTCATCAATGTGTACTAGTCAGTTCTATGTGAATTAACTTGCTCAGTAACTGAGTTTCTATTTTCTGTAGCACCATCAGTTTGCATTGATAACATGAGTGAAGTACATGAAGAATCTGTAGTATCAGACGAGGAGGAATCACAGGTAAGCTGAAGACTCAGTCAGTTACTTTATAGTTGCATGACTTTGCTTTATATTTGAAGTTATTGAGGAGGGGTCTGCTTAACTTCATGGGTACATTAAGTAAAATGAGTCCTGTGACATTGGTTAAACTTAGAAAAATTTGAAGTCATTATAGTTTGAAAGTAAGACAGAGAAACAAGGTATTTTAATGACATTTTTTGCAATAATCTCAATGTGAGAGTAGTTTCAGATGTCATCTTTAGCATCTGGCATTCTGTGGAGTGCATGTCATTTGTTCTTTGTGTGTAGACTAGTTCCTTCATGTGCTTGCAAAAATAATCATCCTGGAGATTTAAATCAGGCTGGTCAGGCATTTGGTCCTCCTTGGTCAATCCAACAGTTTGGATAGATGCATTAAATATATCCAATGTCTATTCTGACTTAGACTTACTTCCTTAGTACTTTCAGACTTACTCATGTATTGTGTAACTAATGCATTTGAAATACTTGACACTTTGGACTTATCACAATATGTTTCTGTTTATTTATTGTCAGGATCAAGCAAGAGATGACCCTGATGAGTGTGATAATGGCTGTGATGGACCACGACCTGACTTCCAGCTTGTAAAGACAGAAGTTATAAATGATGGTGAAGTAGAAACAGTTACTGATGTTACAGAGAATGATGATGTAGAGAGTACTGAAGCATTGAAGAATGATTCACAAAGCATTCATTTTGAGGATTTAATTGATACGACTACGTAAGTATGTAGCAGTATGTTGTGAAATGTATGTGTAATAGGGTGAGTGTTGCTCGTGTTGGGGAAGAAGTATCATCATCATCATCATAGAGTAGGTGTGTTTTACTTGTTTTCTTAATGCTTAAATCATAAAATTTTATTGTAAATTTAACTATGACAAAAGTATTAAGACTGGCCTCTTCATATCCTGTGTGCCTTTGGCATATCCTTCCTTTGGGTTAATATGAATAAAGTATTTTTGAGATATGAAAATTTGTAAGTACTTCATCTTTCTTATTTTATAATCTCCTATTCTGGTGTTAATATTAGCTATTTGGAATTTGTTCATGTATCTCACTATTGATCAAGTAGTCAGTATCCAGGAAATGCTCCTCTGTTGTAATGTTTTAAAGTTGTTACATCTAAAAGATAACACTGATTTATCCATGTATACTAAAGGTTCATTATTTCTGTAAAATTGTATTTAACTTGTTAAATTTTAATGTAAGATATTAATAATTGAAGTTATAATCTGTGTTACTGTTTAAATAGAATATTAATATTAATCTTGAAGTAAAGTAAACAATGTCCTTTCTGTGAAAATATGCTTATTGAGAGATTTGACTCTCCAAGGTATAGTGATGAAAGATAATAGGGCTGGTAAATACTAAAATGGCCATAGCCTGCATTTACAAACATTGAATGGTAAGAATAATTTTAAAACGATTTTCCGGTTTGAACTGAGAAAAGAAATGCACAAAAGTGAAAGAAAATAATTTCAAAACTGGTCATGCATGACCTTTTGTTTTCCATTCTTGGGTTGTTAGGTGTGTTGTGGTAGGATTGGTTTTCTGACTCCTCCTTGTGGGGTTAGTGATTACTATGGCAGGCTACATATTTATATTTCCAGGTCACAAGCCATTTCCACATTCTGTTGGATGTGTTACTCATAGGTGGGATTTTTAAATAATTTCAGGTATCTGGGCAGTAAGTCACCACTGCATGACAGTGAGAGTGATGATTCAGATTTTATTACCGATGATACGTACACAGAAAAAGATCTAAAAGATGGTGAAATTCTTCCAACAAATGCAGTCTGGATTAAGGAACCTTCAACTCGTTACTTCTGCGATATTTGTGGTCAAGGTTTTGTAATTAAACACAGCATAACTCAGCATAAACGAAAGAAGCATGGTATCCATCCTTATACATGTGTCTTATGTTCACAAACATTCCCTAAGAAGCAAGATCAACTTCGGCACTTGCAGAGTCATTCTGGGCCAGATGGATTTGAATGTGAGTCATGTCCCAAAGTCATTCCGGGTATTGATGCCTTTTTGCGGCATCGGAAGATACACACCACAGAGAAGAATATTCCATGTCTAACATGTGGTATGCTGTTTCGAACCACTTGGGAATTACGATCGCATTCTGTGACACACTCAGATAGTCGAAGGTTCTCTTGCACTGAGTGTGGTCAGGGATTTGCTGTAAAAGCACGTTTGCTTGATCATATAAACAGTCACACAGGATCTCGGCCATATAAATGTGAGATCTGTGGAAAAACGTTTGCTGCACAATCAGGTTGGAGCAATCACTGTAAGTTACACACGGGACGAAAACCATTTAAATGTGAATATTGTGACAGGAGCTTTGTGACCAATGCTAATCGTCGTAAACATGCTCGTACACACACAGGTGAGAAACGTTATGAATGTTCAGATTGCCACAAGAAATACAGTGCTCCAAATTCACTTGCAATTCATAAGTTGCTGCATACTGGAAACAAACCTTATCAATGTGATGTGTGCAGTGCAACATTTCGATGCAGTTCACAGTTGGTGAATCATCGACGTATACATACAGGTGAACGTCCGTACACCTGTGATCTTTGTGGGTCAGCTTTCTCACAGGCAAGTAACCTGAATACACATCGAAAAACACACGAGAGGTACCAGAAGATGCTTGATGAAAAAGTAGAGAAGACCGCTCATACAGAATACAAGAAATCACAAGAACGATATCAGAAAATGCTGGGTGATAAAGTAGCCAAGCTTCCTAGCACAGAATATGTTTCAGCTGTTGAGCACTTACTTGGAGACTGACATAACGCCCAAGATGGAAGCTTGCTGGAAGGAAAACAGGACTTAAGTATCCTTCCAGTAATCCATCTTGCTTAAGTAAAATTACAAGACTTTACATATAAAGTCATTTGAACCAAGAAGAAATATTAAGACTGAGATTTTACTGAACCTTTTTTATGATGTTAAGAATTGCTTTTCTAAATTAGTATTATTATTAAAACACAAAACACTGTGGCTCTTATCACCAGGAAAATGCTTTTATTAGCAATAAAGTAGGGTGACAAGTTCTGAATGTTAAAATGTCAGGAGGAGTATATGAATGCTTCAAGGAAATGTTTGATAATAACATATGATACGTTGTATAGAATGTATGATAATCAAGTATGATCATTTGTACAGAATATGTTACTCACAGTTTGTACAAAGAACTGATGCTTCACCATGTATAATGCTAGTGCAGAACCTCTTCTATTTATTTAAACACTTAACTGGTATCAGCGACAGGAACACAAGAATGTGCCCTTAATAGAATTGACACAAAAAATATAGTTGCTGGTCTTCTGGGTTATTGCACTGTGTAGCATCTTGGATGAACATAATGCCTCCATCCTCAGGGCTGAAGAGAATGAATTAATAAATGAATAGTTGGCACAAAAAGCAATCTAAGAAATGCTGTCATGGGAATGTTTAGGAACTTGACAAATCTGAATATTAGAAGATATGCTTGGAATACTTTTGAAGTAAAAACAAGTAAGTGACATTTCTCATAGCATGAAGGTTGCTCATATGCTTTTACATTATCTTTTCATGTTGCTCCAGGTTTTGAAATTTCACTGACTTAAAATATGTTGAACTCTGTACTACTTCAACAGCCTTCATTATTTTCCTTTTATTGCTATAATCTGTTACCATTCATGAAACAAAATTTAAAACTTGAAGGGATATTCTTTGTCCACAGATTCATAGAACAACGTATATATACATGTCTCATCACCAGACTACAGGACAAAACATCTTATGAATGTAGCTAATACATTCTTAAGAACCGTGTCATAGTTCATGTATTTGGGAAGGAACAGCAGATCAAAATTTCATTTGTGAAAAAAGTAAGAGAAGATGAAATTTGTAGATTGCGTTACCATGAATTTTAAAATCCCGTATGTTTGTATCTCCTATAAAATGTGTATATTAAATTTTTAAAAACTATTTTTTTATTTTATAAAGGTGTGAAATTTGGTCCCTTTGTTAAGGGAAGTCCACAGATTGGGATGTTTGAGCAGTGCTGAAGAGAATATTTAGACCTACATTTAATGACGTGACAGGAGGCTGGAGAGAATTGCATAATGAGGAGCTTCATAATTTGTACTCTTCAGCACATTATCAGGATCGTCAAATCAATGTAGTACATAGGGAAGAAATACATTCAAAGTGAGTAATATAGAAGATAAATCAAATTTTATTTTGTTCATACCTTTTGGAAACCCAAGCCACATCTTAGAAACATACTTCATTCAAATATATTTGTAAAATGCTAGAGCGGAATCCCCATTTAATTTTTTTTTTATTTAAAATATTCCCTCAGTTTTCAATTTCTGCAGTTTTAAGCAAATTATTTCATAAAATTTCTTCCTTTTAAAGTTATTATCACTTTTGTACGAATCTGCTTTGCTCACTATCCTAAGGAAATTTAACTTATATCATACAGGAATAGACAATTTAAACCCCATCATTACTGGGCTTCCAGCTGGACCATAACTCCAAGGTTAATGACTTGGTGGTATGCTACTGCAATACACAGTCAGCTGGACCACACGTAAGCTGTGACACACAGTAAGGTTAATATGTATACATAGAGGTTCTCCCAAAAATGTGTAAACAGCAGAAACTTTGGTGGCTGCTTTTCAGTCACTTCTGTTAGCTGTGCCACAAAGCTAATGAACTCCTGCACTAGAGTTGCCAACTCACTAAGTACCAGTGCTGATTTATGTAACAGCTTAGTTTATTAAAATTTCTTTTTCATTTATTGAATGTGTGTATACACCTTTTTGGGACACTTGTGCATGTGTATATCTCTATCAAGAGCCAAGGTAACTAAATGAGTAGTGTTGGGCTTCTGACTGAACATTTTTGGTTCACACTTTAATAATGTTATTTGGAATTTTCTTGTAGTCACACCCAGAATGACTCTATGCATGCTATGGACACTGGGGTAAAGTTGTCAGAGAATGAAGCAGACCATTTACCTACAAAGTTAAGAAGTTTGGAGCTTTATGTATTACTGCTTATGCAGTGCATTCACTGATAAATTTTAATGCAAGTGTTACTTTTCGACTCACAGCAGGAACTGATGTTATTTCGGTAAGCTGATTTTGTCTTTATGGAGTGATATTCATTTGTATCAGAAAAACTGTGTAACCTGGCAATGAGTCATGCAGTTCCATCCAGGAGCCAGGAAGTAACAATTGTGTTCAACTTTATCAGTGAACTTACTGTATAGTGTATGTAGTTATGCTCAGGGATAACTATAAGAACATTGTAATCTGTCATAATTAAAACTTACTTTAGTACAAAATGTTTCTGTCCAGTTTTTTTCCATGTTGTCATAAGGTATAATGCATGAAGCGGTTCTGTCGTACACTTTCAATGCCGTGCTATCATACGTGGGTCAACACGTTATAAGTACAGAAACTGTTGTGTGTCACTTAAGAGGCCAAGTGTCTTGTTATTATTTAGACTTTTTGTAAAATTATTTCTGAAGATGCATATAGAAACATTATAGAAGATTTTATGAAATATGTGTGATGTAAGTAATTTTATTATTTCAGTTCAGTTTGTTTACAGCGCAATCAAATTTTCATTATGTTATTGTTTGTAAAAAATGTTTATTATTTTACAGATGATGTTTGAATGAAGTGAGAAGGAAGAGGAATTTAGATGGTATATGCAGTAGCTTCAAATAGCAACACAAGAACTCTTGCCTATAATGCCTTCACTTAAATATAGTTATCGTAGTGATCTTATCCATTTGTATATTGGGATAGCAGCATAGAATATATCATGGCAACAAATTTATTATCAATTGATCATGTATTATCATCATCATCATCATCATCATTAACTTAAGTGCAAATTAGGCCTAGCATGATATGTGACAATGGTTGATTCATTATAGGAACAAAGTTGGATATTGTTTGGCATTTTGGGTGTTGACTCTACTCCCATCTCTAGGTGGTTGGTTGTCATACAGTTTGTATTATTGTTGTTTTCAGCAGCAATGGTGGTTGATGTCAAACCAAAGAACTTTTAAATGCTAGATCTAGTGGTTAGCATACAAGTCTAGCATTTAAAGGGTCCCACATTCTATCCTGACCCTGTCACAGAATTCAATTCAATTCATTTATTTAAGTGCTTGACAACAGCCAAATAAGGCCAATAAGAGCCAAGCACTAAACCAGAGTACAGGATAAAATATAATAAATAATTAAATTCATTACAAATACAAAAACAAACAAACAAATGAAACTAAATATATAAATGTACCATATTGAATAATATTTCACAAGTAAATGGGCTAAATACAATACCTAAGTAATATAATTCAATTCAATAATTCTAAATAAAAACATTAAACAATAAAAAACAATAATAATTCAATTCATAATAATAATATGATGATAATATAAAAAGTGTTAGTATCCTCACAAGCAATCAGCTGAAGACGAGTCAAATCCAAAAATATTTGTATCATATATACCTCCGACAATGAATAGACCATGTCCAACATAATGTTCCTATAATAGGCTTTGCATGTAAATACTAAATCACATTCTTCATGTGACATGTTATGTAAGCCAGATATCTAAAGTGATATCCAAAAGTATTCATAACTTTGTAGAGTTGTCAGTTATCTACATTTATTGAGAGGCATGTGGATATACATTCATGCACACAAAATCTAGAGTCAGCCTAGACCAATTGTTTTGCTTAAAAAATGTTTACATATTGAACTATAGCCTCTCTGGTAATATCCTGAGATTTTCAACACTGATAACACTGGGCTGATCATGAATCAATTAATTCAGTTTGCAATTAACTATTTATTTTTTAGAAGCCATTTTAATAACTTCCCATTTCATTCTCCCAAGAGGTGTAACTGAATTCTGTATGAACTGTACAAATTAAAATTCTACGTATGTAATTTCCTCCATTCCTCATATGACTCATCTCCTGTTGGTCCAATTGTTTTATGTGACATACTTGTAATTTATGTTTATTCCTCACATAAGAGATGTCAGTTCACATCCAGCTTCTTAGTAAGGACTCTGATCCATGGAGTTAGTTAATTATCATGAATTACATGTATATTTGTCACTTTGTTCTCAGGTATTTCAATTTGAAACATTTTTCAATTATTTATTCTTGTGATTTGCATCCTTCACATGAACTAATGCCATAAGTGTGTGTATAAGTACCTGACTTCAGCCATGAATCTTGAATCTTTTATATTTTCTTGATTTAATGTTCCAGATCAACATTTAAAACTAATGTGGATATGGCATTACAATTTTTTAGTGTGGTGCAAAAGAGTGCAAGTGGATTGAAATAGTAGTTGACAAATTTGCTTAAACATCTCGTGCTTACATCCCGCACCGTAGCCGCGCGGTCTGAGGCGTCATGCTTCGGACCGGCGATACGGAATGCGCGCTGGTTCGAGTCTCGGGGGAGAAGAAATTTTCCCATGAGCTTTAGACCAGTGTATGGGACCGGTGCCAACCCAGCATCGTGAGGAAATTGGGGTGCTACAATGAGTAGCGTAATCCAGTCAGGAAAGCTAGCAATGGCTGGGGGTTCGTCGTGCTGACCACCCATCACCCTATATCTGGTTGGATGATCGTTCACCTCTACTTAGGCATGTGAACGTGAGGCCAGCAGCCAGCTAGTCGACTTTGGCTCTCTGGAGCTGTTACGCCACAGATTTAATTTTTTAATCTCATGCTTACACATTGTAATTAATTTGATGTAAGAAAGTTTGTCAGCTGCTTACAATTTAACTGTTGAAAAGTGTCAGTTTTAAATCTTCTGGCATAAAATTTGTTTTGCGGTTCTGGATTTTTGTATTTCTGTATGGGTGTCCTGCATCTGTTGTCTAACAAGTAAACCATTTCAGCTTTCATATGACACCTTCAAAAAAATGTCACCCAGACAAGCAGGCGTCCGACGGCTACCAAAGCACATCGTTGTGTTAACTATGAAGGTGAAAGGTACTGATGGATTTCATAAATTGCATTGTACATATATTTAGATGTTTTATGAACTACATTTAAAGTTGAAAATAATGGTTTTGCATAATTCTTAATTAGACAGGAACATGCAGCATTTCTAGTGATTTCTGGCATGAAGTAAGAAAGCAATGGAGCCATTTTTGTCATCATCAATACCTAAACCTTTGTAACAAGTATAAAGTTAAGTAATAAATCTGTGTGTACATTTCTGAAAGTAGCTCTCTGGTTTGGTTATTCACATATTTTATGATGTTGAGTCAATTATCAAGGTTATGTATCATCAAGTAAGGTATAGTGTGATAAAAATTATGAAGGATGTGTTAATGTTTCTTGTCTCCCTCATATTTTAATTTATTGTAAATTTTTGTATGTCTTGAATTTGTGTGCAAGTTTATATCATATGACAGTGATTTTTTATTATTTCCTTCCCAGCAAGTGTGTCCACGAGAACCATTACGTTTTTGGTTACTGCCTGTCGTGTTAGGATTAAATGCTGGGATAGTACATTTCATGTAGTTTTTGTTTAACAAACCATCTGCTACTATACAACCAAAGAGTGGTTAGCACACGTTTGTATTTGGGAGGTCCCGGGTTCAAATCTCTGCCCGGAGACTGGCTATCCTGAGATTTTCATGGTTTTCCTCAGCCAAATTCCAGATAGTACCCTAAATTAGGACGCAATTGCTTCCATCCACATCCTTTCAAATTCATTATTCACTGTCAACCTCTCATTCGATGTTATATAGTCTGAGTTTCTGAAAAAGCGTTGTTAAATAAATAAAATGTACAACTGTACAATATATATTGAAGAAACACAGATAGTTATCTTTAATTGCATACAGATGGCGTATGCGGGTTGTTTTCCACTTAGATTATCAAACTGAATAAATCGACTTTGCAGAAAGATTGTGTTTGCACTTAGTCCCTCACTCTTCCACAATTATCCGTTGCTAACCCGGCAGTTGGTACATTATTGTTCAGCCGATCATCGAACTGTTGCAAGTTTCTGACTTATTTTCACAGCAGTATACCCATACAATCCGTACTGAATAAGTCAGATAGGCCTATTTTCCGTGACGATACATAGTTTGATATTCAGTAGCTTGCGTAATTCAGTGATAATTGTCCATTTTTCAGCACTATTCCGTAAGGACATATAGGAAACATATGCAAAATTCCTTGATACTTGTTTGATTACGTTTTGTCAACTTCAAAGTTTTTAAGGTATTGTAGATGCGTCATATTGTGAATAGTATTAAAATATATAAATATTTAAAATAACCGTCAATCACAATAAAATTTAAAGATTAAAAGATTTAAAATATCATTTCTGGTGTATTATATATAAACTTTTTACTGAATTGCGTCGAATGAGAAATTTAAAATTGACAAGTTGGAAGGGGTGCATTTACTTGGAGGGCTGAGGAAGACCACGCAAATTCCTAAGGCTAAACAATTGGTTTGCCGTCTTATTCTAGAATCGGAGACCTCACGAGTACAAAGCAAAAATGCTACGTAGTTCAATCTTCACGTTCATAACCCCAAACAAGATGGAGCTGAAAGCTTAGCTTCACACTCTGTCCGTCTATACTTCCAGGGGGAGAGCTACTGGGAGGCTGATTGGACCCTTGAGCCATTCCAGATTATTAAAAGAACATCCCAACGCTGGCGAGGATCGAATTCTGGCCGTTCTATTTTACACCTGCCGTGTACGCTACGATGGTTGGACACCGCCAGGAACAGGTTACCAAGAATTCAACTCCGAATTGTCGAAATTTGTTTGGTTTAGGATCTAGCAGTGCATTTGGGTTTCAAATACCAGGCCACAAGTTTGGAACTATTCGATGTATTTTAGGATCCGTTCGTTAGTTTATGGAAGGCTGTAGAAGGTCAGACCAACTACGTGAGGTGCCAGACTTTGCTGCGCTTGTTCCCAATAAGGCGGGAAGTCTTTGTCAAATTGTTGAATAATTTTTTTATAGGTCAATTCATTACATCCATATTATACTGAGAACTTCTCATGTTCTAATCTCCAGATGTATTTAATATATCTATGTGAAGTACCGATCAGGAGTTTTGTTCTACTTTCGTCTCGCCGTCGTTGATTCTTATTATACTGACGCACACGCATACCAGTATATAATATAGAGAAAGGGATGTTAAGTTCTGTTCTCGTGCTTAAGCACCGTACCATGAAGATGTACAAAGAAGCGGAGGTAAAGCTCCGGACGTAAAGTGTAAACGTCGAAAGTAATCAGTTTCACACATCGGTCGCTCTTAGGGTAACGTTTAGTTTAAATAGTGGGGTTTTGAATAGATATTACTAATCTAACCTAGCCTAAACTAGGTTACGCAACGTACTTTCACACAGATAAAATGTAGAAACTTCAACTTCTGTATATTAGCTGCTCTCCACTAATTATTCTACAGATCACGTAGTTCAAGGGTATGAGCATGTCTGATTACACACTTAAACTACAACGTTCAGTTAACAGACTACAAGAAATATCTAAATACATATTTTATAAAATAACGGGTTGCATTCTTTAATGGCAACATAAGTCTTTTACTTAATATGTAAATAGCGACATAGTGAAACGTAGACCCGAAAATTCTGCTTGTCAGTAGTGCGCGCGCAATATTAGTTACAGAACAGATCGGACAACTTCGAGTGAGAACATCTTTATAACGACATTTGTTATAGCGTGAAGGTCGAAGTATGCTGAACTCTGTCAAGTGACTTCTGGTTGCTAGCAGTTAGATTCAGCCTTCTTTTAGCACAGGATGTCCCGTTTTAACATTTCCGATGGCAGGAAAACTACAGCACTTAAACAATGCAATTTGCGGCATTCAGAAAATAAAGTAAGAAATGATTACAACTAACAATAATAAACACGGTTACAACAATGCAATAAGCTTCGCCATGCTCCCGTTTGCGGCATGACTAATATTGGTCTGTACTCGATTAGTTACCATGCTCTTCTAAACGTGTGAAATGATAGTGGCAATATCGCCGCCTCTTAAGTTCCGAAGGTCGCGGGTACAATTGGCAAATGTTCTGTCCTTGACGTATTCCCATTAAAAGAAATTCAGAGGAACGATGCCCAGCTAATGCCCAATCAAACGATCTAGGAGAGTGTCCTTGAAGGACTAGTGTGGGGTTCCATTAGCCTGTACTGAACGTTCATTTTAGGGCTATCCCGGATCATTTTGCGGTAGCTACCAGAATTATCAGCGCCCCGTATCCGTATGTTGTACTGATTGACCTTCCCTGACAGGTGATAAGTGGCCTTATCCGAAAACAAAATGATAAGTGAATCAAGATTCATGTCGATGCGACGTATCGTGTTGGTCGCGAAGATCAGTCGGTATGGTTTAGCCGTTAAACCCCACTGGAAACTACATGCACCATCTGTTTTAACAATCAATAATTATGTATTTGGCCAGTCAATATGGATATGATATGATTTGGTATGATTCTCAAAATAAATAGTGATTATTTCTCTGAACAACATTAGTCAACCGATCTTTTTAATGGAGACGCAACGTGTTTTCTTTGAGGTACGGACTAAATGAATAAACATCATTTAGATTAGCTTCGGCTTCAGAAGGTAAACATTGGGCCAAAGTTCACGGACAATATGCATTTTTAACAGATACAGAATTGCCGTTTGTGCAGAACTCTGTGCAATATAGTACGTGGCATCTATTGCTCCCTATGTGTCTTCGACGGGTGGATTAAGGATTTTTCGGGATGCATGGCGTATTTTCTTTGAGTTCTCATCAGACGTACAATTACGACCACTTCCGGCTTGCTACTGTACATCAAAAAATTGTGAAGCCTGGTCAGAGCTCCGCCTCCGTACACTCGTGGAAAGCTAATGAAGGGCTTCTCTGCGTACAGTATGTTATTGAGGAGATGTCATTTTCCTTCCAGCGGCTGCTGCGTCCCATAACGAAAACATAGGCAAGTGCAAAGACACAAAATAAATCCCTTTGGAGTTCCCTTTCTCGCTGCAGAAATTTCACTAATTTAATTGTTGTAGTATTCCGCAGTGACGATAGAAAATGTGTGATCTTAAAAAACACGACATTCTTTATATTGCATTTCCAGTAGTCACGCACTCAAAATGTGTAAATAAAACTATCACTACTTTTCAGCAATTGCAAAGTATTTCATCAACCTGAGAGTAGAGTGTTATGTTTACTTGAAGGTTGTCATATTTATAATACAACTTATGCCTATTTTTTAGTGGTCAAGTTAAACTTATCTCACGTAAAACAGAATTCGGGTATGGGGAACTAAGCAGAAGTGTCAATGGTAACTTGTCAATGATGCCATCTTGTGTAAATATTCAGAGACACGTCACATCTTGCAGGAAATTCATATTTGTTCGTGTAACAGGTCGCTTATGTGTGGAAACTATATTTATTTCGATCGCAAAGTAAATTATCGTGTTATGTGATATAGTGAAGCTTCTCTGGTAGTGTGATTTCTTTTTTGCAAGGGATTTTGTCATTATTTTGTCACAGGCATCGAGATGTTCACATCGATTTCTGGGGATTTGGCGCCAATGTGAAAAACATTTAAATGAAAAGGGAAAAAAAAATCTGTGTAGGCAGCATGTGCTCATTGCAGGGCCGAATCCTTTTTTTCCGTATGAAGTACTTTCAACCGAACCGTCCCGAGTTGAATCAAGCCAAGCCGTGACGATCATCGACGCCACTACCTCCGGCTGCTGCCTGGAATATTTGGCAACCTTGCACACGCGACCGGTGAGGTGACAACCTGGGAGAGACTACGGTATTTACAACTCCCCCGCGGGCCAGACTGTCTGACTACTGCACCTCCAGGAACATGGAAATTAAGATTCCAATGCCAATCGAAAGGAGAAAAGCCGCGTACTTCACTACATATTCTCAATGAAGTTTCTTGCAGTTTGAAGTGTCGGTAACTTACCAGTAACAAGAACGCGAAACTAAAGTTTATGCCTGAAATAATGCATACGCATATGTAGTAGGACCTCAAAAAGGGGGCTTTGAGGGAAATGGGGTGAGCGGTCTTGGTGCATAGCAGACTTAGTTCTCAAAACTTATATGCCTTCTACGTTGCTAAATCACACGAAACTATAGTATGCAAGTACAGAAATAATGTGAATTGAAAGAAAACAGTAATAGATTGAGTTTCGTGATACTTCGGTGGAAATACGTTGTTCCTATACATGAAACAGAAATCTCCATTACTCGTGAAATTAATTCATTTACACTCAAATATGAGTATCCCGTACTCTTCAACAACACAAGTACAATGACAGCAGAGGTGGACTGCAAGTGTCTGGGTATCGCTTCGAGTCAAGTGACAAGGTCAAATAATTAAAATAGCTGACTGGCCCTTTGTAGTGCCCTTGAACTGGACAGCGACTTTCGATGGAACTTGGAACAAGACCTTTCTCTCAGGCCTGACGCCAGGTGATAACCATCTCGCTTTCGAAGAAGGACCCAATCTGATGACCCCAATGATAATACCTATATAATTGCAATTAATCACTTTATATACAGGCAGACAGACTTCATTCAAATGCTGCGTCATTGCGCTCAAAAATTCATAGCTGATATTTTTATTTATTACGTTAATCGGCGTCTCTCATTGTTCCTATTGACAGCTGGCAGCGCATCATTCCTTAGTTTGAACATTTTCTTTTTGTGCAGGCGTTCCAAAAGTGAGCAAAGTCACGCCAGGGTAGACTGATCTACATTAGAACGTGGCAATTGTGTGTCTCTTCAACTCCAGAAAGTGCTCCGAAAAAAAGAGGCGGTGCTCGCTTAGGGGCCACCGCCCAGATTTAGGGAAGCGTCGCTGTTCAATTACATTGTGCCTAGTAATGATAGTCGTGTAGTGTTGCGGAATAGGGGGAGGCGGGAAGGGCTTGGGGGGAGAACTTTATTGATTTTTAGGGTGACACTGTCAACCGCCGTTGACTGTGAGTTCACGATGGAAGACTTGCGAACGAAAAAATTCGGCGTATGAAAGTATCGAAAAAACAAGAAAAAAGAAAAGTTTCGACTCAAAAGTAGGAAAAATAAGTTAAAACAGGTTGACGGTGGTCGTCGTCATCTACAGAGTGGCTACCTATCACCAAGGATGTGTGGCAGGACAACATGCCCACCGCTGCCTCCCTCAGCCGGTCGCGTCGTGCTGTAAAAATGGCAGCATTCCGTGGCTTCTCGCAGGATAATTTTTGCAGAAGGCCTAAGAAGAAAATTAGTTGACACGTCTGTCAGAACCTCCCGCACGCAAACGGCCCTCGCAAGAGGCAAGAAAGGTGGGCGTTCGGTTTATGATTTAAATATTTCAATATCTATTTATGTGAGTTCGGAAAAGAAAAATGGTGTATTATGTCGGAAGTACTACCATGCATTTTAGCGGCGTTTAATTATCGCGTTTATAATTAATCTTATAATTTTGCTATTTATGTGTATGCATATGGAGATTATGGTCATTTCTGGACAGAACGGATTCTTTCGAGGGAATAATGAAGCTTATATGGTGTTTTACGAACTCTGTTTGGTGTGTTAATACATACTTTATGTTGATTTAAAAACGCGACTTGAATCAAGAGAGCAATTAATAATATGTTTTTATATAAAGAAACTCTCTATTTATGTGTAGATATTGTGAAATATTTTAAAATAATTAATAATATCAACATAAGTAGTTTCTTTATAGAGTTTTTTGTGTTGGGGAATATAAGAATAGTATTCCTTTGATCATGGTGGTGTTTACTTGCTGCGTTTCTTGAGAAGTTATTTAGAAAAGAGGAATATCTAACCAGGAGGACTGAATTTTTACAGAATGAAGGAGAGATGCTGTGAAAGGACAGAAATGTTTATATGGAATGAGTTATTTCAATATGTGTTAAGTTATACGTCACATTGTGTTGAATTGTGCGTCGATATAGGCCAGAACTTAGAGTGTACTTCGAGTTATGCGTCTAGTAAGGCACAATACAAAAACATTCAATTTTCGCGTATTCTGACACTGACAGAATGAGACAAGGACGCGGCGGTCAACGAAACAAGAAATGTAAATTCATATTTATTATTTATAGGGCCGTAGCCCAACGTGTTCATTAATTTAAGTCACTTATTGTGTGTAAGATGTACTAGACATAGCATTGCCAACTGTAAAGATATAATTGTATAGGTTAACATAACCTATCATTACTGTTTGTAAAAGTTATTTTTTTGTAGCTTAACATGACTAACTTTCACAAATTGTGAATCGGAAATAGTATATGTAATTAAAATGGTCCGTTTTATACAATCTTGATACAATAATAACATTTATTTTCTTGAAATACTAGAACTTCAAATTAACACAATTCATCATTTAGGGAGACCATATTATGTTCAACATTCCTTTGTGCTTTGTTGTGTTAATAACTGCTAGGAAATAGCAGTTTTAGAAAGATACACTTTTTAATGAAGGTGTTGTGATCTTTCCCAGTATGGTAAAAATAAAAAGGTTTTTATAATTTGAATTTGCTATCACATTGATGATTTGTTCACTAGTTTGTTCAATAAATTGAGACTAAAAAGTGAGATGTTAAAACATGATGGAAAGACATTGTTTGAAAACCTACATACTATGGGGTTTGAAGGTTAGAACTTTGACCCCAAGAATTAAAATTCTGCGTGGTTTTGTGCTCTGATGGCCTTTGTTGTTGACAAGGCTATGTTTTGGAAATGGACATTTTCAGTTAATGTTATTTTTCATTTAAAATGTACATAGAATGTGTTTATGGAAAATATTATCAGAATTTGTGAGGTAAATAGGTTTACCATCTAGAACAATCAGCAGATATGCTAAGGGTGAACCTGAATGCTGTTGCATTTTTGTACTAATCTAAGTTTTTATTAATATGCTTTCTCACAGTGCACAAGTTTAGGGATTTTACGACTTTGATTCATTCCAGCCTCTCTTGGCAAGGCAGATCACTGCTATCTTATAAAATTATTTCAAGATGAGTACAAGATAAAATAATTTTTCATATAAGTTTTTGTTGGCTTATGTGGGTTTAATTTGTGACTGCAGGCTGTAGAGGTCGTGGTGTGCCACCAATCACGCTGCCAGCCACACTGGAGGACCCTGCTGCCACCTGGAAGGGTCCGCCACAAGGCTCGGAGCCCCAAAACTTTGCACCCAACTCAGGACAAAATTTCTCTGGGCCGCCGGCGGGCTTCCAGGGGCCATCCTTCCAGGGCCCGCCGGCGGGGGCCGGTTCTCCAGCTGGAGCACCTCCTTACTCTGGGCCTCCTCCAGGATCAGGAACACCTCAATATACAGCCTCTCCCGCACCCTCAGGCTCATCTACGCCGGGACCTGGCCCTCCTCAGTCTGTTGGAAATGCGGGCTTCCCTCCGCCTCCTAATAATGGGCCGCCATACAATGGACCAGGGCCAGGGCCTTTTGGTTCTCCATCATCTGGCGGACCTCAGTTTGTTGGTCGTCCTGGCTCTTCAGGGCCTCCTTTTGTACCTCCGGGAGGTGGTAATCCTCATTTTGCATCTCCTGGACAACCATTTGGTGGCCCTCAGTTTGGCATTCCTCCGGGTTCTCCTTATGGTCACGGACCAAGTCATCCCATTCCGGGACCGATTCCTGCTCATGGCATGATGCCTGGTCAGATACCAGGACCCACTCCAGTGGACAGGATAGACCAAGGGTAAGTGTTATTACAATCTTTATTCTTGCTTATGTGTATTCTACGTATAATCCCTGAATTACATTCGTGTAAGATATTCTGTAAAATTTTTGTATGTTGGGTTCATCTTTGTGCATCACTGTTATATGGTCCGTATACGTTATATTCGTAGAATCATATTTAGAAAAATAATGCTCTTGCAGATCGTTTGATAATGAACAAATTCAGTTGTTAAAATATTTTAAATAGCTCAGCTCTGAGACCTTTAAACCTTTCAATTTATGGATTTGTTTATTGTTTAATTGTTCAGTTTGCTGTAAGGCATTATTTTTGAAAATGAGTGGTGAGATGAATTGCTAAATTTAATAGGATATGGTCCAGTGGTGGTGTTCTGTGAAAACAGAAATTAACCTTCAAATTTCATAAAAGGCAGGAATAATGTCAGCAACAGTGTTTTTTAAAACTCCATCTAAAAGAATCCCAGTGACAAGTTACTTTTATGAACCATCACATAATACATTACAAGGAAAACCAGATATAGGACACATTTGTAATATATTTAGCTCTGATCTCAGAGGAATTTATGTTGATATTTTCGAAATTCTCCTTTATTTTATCTTTGAAAACTTTACTTTTGGTAGAATATTTACACAACATAAGAAAGGAAATAGATTATTTGAACACCATCTACATTACATCAGACACGTGGCATGGCTTATGCATGGTCCAGCTGACCATTAAACTCCCGAGAATTTGGATCTGGCTGGCAGCCTGATGGTTCTGGGATTTAAATCCTGTCATTCTGTACTATAAAGGTCAGAGCATTTGACAGTTTTTGCCATGGTATGAATATTAAGGAGAATGAAACCGAGGACGTCACGAATGTTCCAACATTTGATCGTCTGAATGATAATCACTGTTTATTTACAATAAGTTATACACCTGTTTGGTATAAACATATTTTGAAAATATGTCTTTTTGCAGGTTTACACTTCAAATTGTCCTAAATGTTAATATCTTGCATTTACAAATCTGTATTTCATTACAAGAAAGAAACAAAAAACAACAAATTTTTAAATATGAATGTATTCTTACAAGACTGAAACAAAACAGCAGACACAAAGCAGTTTTGCATACAGAACACTGTTTCTTTGTAGGATTCTAGCAGGCGATACACCATTGCACTTCTTTCTTTTAAGTCAGAGACTTTTTGTACAAAATCAGTTTATGTAAATTATTTCAAATTGTTGAAGAAATTGAATGTGTATATTATTGTTACTGATGGTTTTAAATACTCAAAATTGATTGATTTATGTAGTTTTTTCAAAGGAACATTTGAGGGAAAAAGATATTTCAAATTTTGAAGATGATTGATGTTGGAAAGTCTTGGTGTTTTTAGCGAACAAAAAAGAAAAGGCATGCAATATAATGAAGATTAAGAACGTTTGTCTGTAGTGGCAAGAAGGTAGTGCGTGAGCTTGGCATGTGTGTATTTAATATTTTTAATAAGTTTGGATTGAGCTTGTTGCAAAATGTGGGTTATACAGGGATATGGTTTTACTGCTTGACTGCAAAGTACACTTTCCGCAAACAGCGACGTGGTGAGTCATTCATTAGCATAACCAATTTGTTATAAGATTGGAATGAAGAATTCATGTGTTTTATTAGGTCAGTTGGTTGTTTTATTTGCGGTGGTTACACACATTTTGTGTACTTATTTATTTATTGTGTGTTTATCAATACTGTTAGTAGCTCAAACTATATAATGTTAAATGATTACATTATAAAGGAATTAGAAACTGGAAGGATGTGGTTGTCACCCAGTTTAAAGTACTCTCTTGGCATTTGCGTAAGGGTATTGAGGAAAATCATGTTGCGCCATGGTGGAGTTCATTGGTCTATGGTCCAAGATTTTAACCAAGGACATTCTGAATTCCGATCGTTTAAACATGAAGTTTGGTTGTTGCACTTATTTAGTCGTCTGTAGTAGAATAAGGCACACATTCAGACAAACATGTTTTGTTTGAGACACTGAGAGAACAGTTGGCAGAAGAATTATCAGACTAGTTTTTTTCTTGGAAGTGATTAGGAAAGATGGGTGAAACATATTACAATTTACTGTTAAGTGACTGAAGAAGAGAGGCTGTGCAAGTTTTTCCAGTAATATTTAGCTATCGTGTGGTGTGTAACCAAGCACTGACAGATGTATTTTTTCACCAAATCATGTAAATTAGGGAGATAATGGTTTTATATCTGGTTTTGGATTCAGTTGTGACATTTGGTTGGTGTGGCTGAGGAGAAGCAGTAAAACTGTTTTAAATGATAAAATTCACAGGAATTAAGTGCAGAGATTTATCTGTGATTTAGTTTTATGGATGAATTAGTTTAGGTTTGAGGAGTAAAATCTAAAAAAGTGTTAGTGAGTAGTGAACAACAGTTCATATGGAGGAGGTTGTAATTTATACAGCACCCCTGTAATATTACTAGGGTAGTCAAGACATGTTACTAGGATGTGTGAAATGAGAAATACAGAACTTTTGGGGGACAGCTTGTTGGAAAGAATTTATTTGGAATTCTGAGAATGTGGTAGGATTAACATTTATCTTAAGGAAAGAACGACGATGTAACTGGAGACATTTGACTTGGTAGGATTGAAATGTGGGTTTTGATATTCGAGATGTTGGATTTTATGCGCCTCTTACCAGAGAGGTAGGCAGTAAAGTGCATTTTATGTATGCATTCTCAGTCAGTATGTTGTTTGTCAGACCTTCAACAAAAATAGGTTTAGTTCACAGAATTTCCATACAATAGGTTAACTTGATATGAAAGACGACTGTATTTTACAAGTTCCTGAGTTTGAGTGGTGCTTAATGTTCAGTGCATCGAATAGAGTCGTACAGTAATAAATCAAGGGCCTAACTTAAAAGACTCCCGTAGTTTTTCAAGGCTTACAGTGGCAATTTGTAGTTACTAGTTTTTATATAAATTTGGCATTCAACATTTGCAACAGTAGCACGCTGTTCATGTTGTTGACTATGTTTTATGTAACGCATGCTCAAACTTTTTCCTCCGATTTGAAAATTGTCTTTGTATTGATCGTCCTAATCTGGCCAATTTTTATTTTTTCTTTCTTTATTAATGATTTGTCATTATTAAAGTCCTTTACTCATTTGTATATTTTTATTTGCCTGCAGATATTTCTCATTTTCTGTAATTGGATATATATCGTAATTATGAGAAGAACCAGTTTTGCTGTTGGAAATGACTTTGGATTTAAAGGACCACATGGTGTGAGAAATCTTAATTAACTTCATTCTTGCCACCTTAAGCTGATTGTACACAAACATCAAGCTTTTGCTTCTAGACCATGTTCTGATGCTTTCCCATTAGAAAATAATGCCCAATAGAAATGCAATAGACTGAGATGAAAATGTAACGGAGGCTTTCTGTTGAGGAATACTAAGAAATGTGTCCAAACGAGGTCCAGCATTGTTAAAAAAATTGTCATATCCTTCTAGTGGAGAAAATTGTAAATTAGTGTCATCACATGTGGGAACACCTCAATAACAGAACTCTGCATCGTGGGTCAGTCGGTACACATGTGACAAGTATTTTGGCATGACTTTAATTAATCAAATTTAAGTTCATGTCTTTTCACTTTATATTATCATAATCGTAATTTTAGTGGCATTTTCGCATGATGAAATATCACCTACGCTTAAAAGAAGTCTACCAAAGCTTAATAATTTCTGATTAACTACTTCTTATACTACGGAATGTATTGGCCTAGTTTTGACATGTACTCATTCTTAGTATCTGGTTTGGATTTTGGTATCTTTGGCATATTTATGGTTGTTTACAACCATTCCAGGTAAAACTGAATAGTGGTTTTGCAGCAGGTCTTGACCACTTCTTTAATTTCCTCTGCCCCATTTCATGTATAATAACAAGTGGCTTGCTTCCATTTTTTTAAGGGAGTTGCACCAGCAAGCTATATTTTCGTTTTTCTCCTGGAATTTGGAAATAGGTGTGGGCAAGATGTGTCAATGTGTGGTTGCATGTTTATTGATATTTTGATCCTGATATTTTTTGAACATACTAGGCCGCTGTAGCATACCGCTGATAGTAACCCTATGATGCCATTTGAAGGTAAATGATGTGTGCAGTTGATGCAAACCTGGGAGATGTATGGGCAGAAGGGAGAGTAATATTAAAATGAATCTTAAATTATTCTTCTATGGCTCTCTGATCCGTATTTGGTCCATGACCTCCTCAATTCTCCTCATCCATTCAGTCCTCTGTTAGGTCCGTCTGCCCGAGGCTTTGATTGAGGTTTCGAAATATCTTCCTTTTTACGGTACAAGGTTGTTAGCCTTGCGACCAACCCCCAACCTGGAGGACCAGGGTACCTGTCTTAGTCTGACCTCTCCCCCTCGACCAATCTGGCTAGGGAGACCGGACCAGTAGCTATGCTACCGCCAGCATAGCTCTTGGGATCACTGGGGTACTCAAGCCCCACCACCATGACAAGGTCCAGGTACCATTAAGTGAGGATGAATCTTAAATAGGATGTGTATATGTGGACTGGATTAATTTGGTTTACGATAATAAAGAATTGAATTGATATGATCCTATGATGAGTTCTTATTAGCACAGTATTGATAATATGTGTTTCCGTTAGGCAAATAGTTTTTGACAAGCTGAGCGACTGTAAGCTTTTCAAGGATACTGTTTCGTATTGCTAAATTATTAATTTAACTCCATTATTATTTTGTGGTGCTCCCTGAATTTGATTTGATTTGATAGTCACTTCTGGAAACTATTTGTGTAGGCTTGACGGATTTCTTCAGCATGAGATATTTTTATTTGTGTTCTAGATAAAAGCAATTACATGTAAGAATGCGAGCATTCGAAATTTGCGACTGTTCCGATCCGTTTAACAGTATTGCTGTAGCTAAGGTTTTATGCAAGTAGCTCATCATTCCATACTGTGTACTGTAAAACATGACGTCGCTAAACGC